ATTAAGTTTAGTATCAAACTGTAGATTAGGATTCAAATTTTACTATTATACATTATTTAATTTCTTAATTTAAAGTAAATATCAAAAAAAGGCACCTAAACATCGATTTTTGTGTGTCACGTGGTATGTTGAAAGCAGTACTGGTTCAGATTAGATGTTTGTGATGTCAAAATACAAAGTCTGTAGTTTTGTATGATTTAGGAACTCAAATTACCTATATTGACAAGCAACAATATAAAATAAGAACCTCCTATCTCTTCAATTTGCTGAGATATCACTCATGTACTGAATCAAGTACAGTGGCCCCGCTCACCTCTTTCCATTTGTGGAAATGGTCCCTTATATACACTTACTTTTGTATATGACATGTGAATAACCAATCAAAAGCTCAGAATTCCCCCTAGTGGCTTTCTCAGCCATTTTCAAGTATAACAGCATCATCACTTTCTTTCAAGACAAACTTTCATGCTGGTAAGTTGAGTCTTTAGTCTGTTCAAAATTTCATATTTTTTAGACCCCCAAAACAGCTTAGTTACTAAACTTGATAAATTATAATGGAATTCTATGGTATCAATATAGTAATTTATGATTTTTTGGTTACTGAAATAATATATAAAACCTGAAAAAAATTATTTCGTTTCACATCCTCCACATGCAACATTTCTTAAGGCTAAGCAACCCACACCAAGCAGCAACCGAGTACAAAGGTTGTAACTAGAAGAGATTATAGTTTGCTTTACTTCTTCATTTACTGTTCTATGTTTTAAGAAAAATAAGAACTTATTTGTAAACAGTAATAATCTATATACATATACAATGTATAATAATTGAAATGTAACTGTATTTTACAAAATACTAGTCCATTAAAACACAGCCAAGAAAAGTCACTTTGCAAAGACAAAAGGTTAGTTTTATATTAGTGGATATGGTAACATGAGTGCATGTTGACTGCATCACTGTAAATTCTATATTGTTAATGTTAAGACAGGCACAGCTGAAAGGTCAATATAATAATTTCCTTTTAACAGACACTTTTATAATTATAATATTTATATAAACATAAAATAACTCCTCCTCCCCATCATTGCTTCAGTTTCGTTTTTTGATCAAATATTCATGCAAAGCCATTCAAGAGCTATCTGCACTAGTCATCCTTAATTTGTAACTGAAACACTATAGGGAAGACAGACAGTCAACAACACCCATCCTAAATTCTTGGGCTACTCTTGTATGAATGAATAGTGGGATTGGATCGACTTCCTTCTAATTAACCCACAGCCCTAAATTGTAGTGTGTGATTTCAAAAATAAAAAACTTATGGTAATGAGATGTTAATGATGGATCCATATTTCCGCAGTCTTTCACACTAACCGCTGAACCAAACCCAGCCCCTGTTCGAGCTATGGTTCCTCTGTTTATAACAATTTTATACCTCTCTACAAAGCTTTCTACAGTAATTGGTAAAGATGAGGGGATTTAATAATTTTAATAACATAGCCCTTTGTTCGTATACTCACTAACTGCCACAATATATGTAGGGGACCCTAACTTTTTTGATATTATTGAAATTCTTACTTAAATATTACCTTCACTACTTTCAAAACATTTGTAAAGCAAAATATACAGTATCAAATCAAGACACACAAAGGGCTAAAACTTAAACCTACCTTGATCGTGGTTGTTATTATCGTAATAAGTAGAGTAATCTCAATGGGAAAGATCAAATAAAAATAACCTGACTACTAATAGCACCAAAAGAAAAAGCAAATAATTTGAATTTTTAATCTATGTCAAAAGCTAAGAAATCACATACATTTTCCACTATTTTGTGACATTTTCATGAATTATTTTGAAAATCCTATTCTTTCTAAGCTGTCATTTATACTAAAAATTTCAATGTAAGACGTGGATGATACAATTGTAGTGTCAAGTCACAGTGACACTAAGTTAAAGGAATTTTTACAAATTAAACAATTTATATGATAAAATTAAATCTACAATTAAAAATAAATAAGATAATCAGCTGACTTTTTAAAATATTATGATAACTAGAAACTCTACACTAACTTAAAGAGCTCTTCATATTTCTTCCAACAATGTTTATTTTTTCAACTATCCTAAACATGTAGCCATAGACAGAGAATATGACCCAAATATCATTGATAAAGCTGTTAAAAAACAACTTGTCTGATCTCACAACACTTTCATGTCACAAAGTGTTCCCAAGTTGCATTCAAAATTTAATTATATCAATTTACTGTCAATGTATTTTAATGAAATTAACATCATCAAATAAATTATAATTCAAAGTTTTATATTATCCAAGATATTATTTCTTTATTTTAAAAGAAACTCTGAAATAAACATTAAAATTTCAGTATATTGTCACATGATATATGTGCAGTTAAAATATCTTAGATTTGGTTGCTTATGTTTCTGTTCAGGTTTGTCTCAGTACCTCTAAAACTGTTTAGACGATATTCTACAAGAATTAGGTCAAAGTCTAAACATTACTTTCATTTTACAGAAGCTAAGCCATTCCAAGAATTAGCTTATTACTTGCTCTTTTCTGGTACATGTCATGCCCACATTCCCAAGGAATCTGTTGCTAAGCAACAGTCATTTCTAGACTTGAATGGCATGCTTATAACCAAGAGAGAGAAAGAGCAGACTTCTTGCTTAATTTCTCCAGGCTAGAGGCATAGGACATAAATTATTTTTGAAATGACAAACTAACTGCTTGGCTATTATTTCTCGCCTTATACATATTAGTTTGATAGACAGTTAAATTGCATTTAGGTTTTACTTTTATATTTTAGTTAATTATGTTTCATTTGAAAGGTTAATAACTTTTATAGAATATACAAAGCATCATCTTGCTCTACAAAGCTTACATTACCAGGCCAAAACAAAAAGATGTTGCCAGAGGCTAAAGTATTTCTGTCATTCATACCGTTCTATTGCCCGCAGGTACCCGTTGACATGTGTCTACATAAATAATCAACAGTAAAGAATAGGAAAGGAAAATAAAACATTAAAATTAAACTCTTAGTGAAAAGGTGAAGACAGAAAACTATGCATATGACCCATAGAAAGTTTAAGATTGTTCTATGAAGGTAAGTAAATATTTTCCTTTCTTAATTTTAAACATTTCACTGCAATGTACGTTGATGATAATAGCTAGTTAGTGATATAGTAAAGAAAATGTAAAATAAAATATAAAAATTTACCTTTAAAGAACTTTTGATATTCATTTAGGAGGTTCTAGACATTATGCATGTGAAATAGTATTTTTATACTTAAAATGAAAATCACCTCACAGGTGAACTATTCAGAGTCCGAGTGCAAATAACGCTACATTAAATAACAAATCTTTTTTACTAGAAATAGTAGAAAAAAATCAAAATTAAATATTTTATTTTTCTGAAGCTAAATACTTTTAGGAATGTTCTTGTCAAATTTCATCCACTATTTTTATTTTTGGAATGAAATATGACGAGAGCAACATTACCTTCTTACAATGTAAGAAGGCAGTAACCAAATGGTTAACATTGTATAAACATATGTATCTATTAACAATATATTTTGTATATTGTTTTATATATTTATGTTGTACACTGAGCTTATATATATACATACAATTTTTTTAAATGTACATATACAGTTCTCTATTTTCATTCTGCATGATGATGATGACCCCAAATAAATGTGATCAAAACATATAGCCAAACATATTTGTTTTTTGCAATAGTAAATAATTGTTGTTTGAAGGGTGTATTACTTTCATTAACAATAATAATGTATAAAAACTACAGATACAATGATAAATTCTTAACCAAAAATGAAAACTGATGCATATAACTTGAATTATATGTACATCCATAACATACCAATTTTATTCATTAAAATAACTGAAATGGAATCTACTCATTAAAAATCTTCAGCAGCAGAAAAAATACCATATGAAAACAATGAATTTTAAGCTAATCTTAACTTTACCCGTAGAAACAGAGGAAAGCCTATTCCATAAAATCCAACTCGAAAATACTCTGGTTCTGGACGCAACTGGCTAAGGATATTGTCCAAAAACTTTGCCTGAGTTTTCTAGAACAAAATATTAGTTTTGATACACATAAGATATCAAAAGGTAAAAAAAAGTGAATTTTTTTCTCAGTCACTGACACTGAACTAGTTGTTCCATCAACCTTAACAAAAAGGCAAGAACATCATTGACACTAATTAAAATTGATGACTTCTTAACTTTTTTCTTTTATAAAATTATCAAAAGATGTAATATTTCTCATATCAAATAGCATAAACAAACACTTGCAAAAAATGGATAAGGTTTGTTTCTTGTTAACAAAAACGTTTTAAGAAATTGACACAAAACCTTAGTTAACATACAATTTACAATCCAATAAGAGCACTTACATTTGTTTATATTAACTTTGCAAGAACCACTGTGTTTATAATTATCTTCAAATAATTAAATTTCTACCTCTATTAATATAACACTCACTAAACACCAATTTTTACTTACATTTTTAAATAAAATACTGTTAGTGTAAAGAAAAATAAGAAAATTAACTACATAAAAGTGTATGGACATTAACAATTCACAATTATCACATTTGAAGAAGAGAAACACATCTGAAACCAACTATTAATTTTAGATGGTGAAAATGTTTATTAGTTAAGACAGAAGCAGTAAACTTACCAGGATTGAACTTAGCCTAGCATAATCAAAAAGTTTCTTTTCATACAATTCAGCCAGTTCTTTACAGAGAGGAGTTCCTTCTTCCCAGCACTGCAATAAATGTTTCAGGATATATTGTACAGATTTTCCCTTCCATATTCACACTTTGTCACTTTTTGTCTAACTCTTCCATTATTTTGTTAAATATTAAATCTTCCAATTACCAAACTTTTTCTTATCACACTCAATTCTACAATCTTTACTTTTCTTGTTCACCATGCAAGTTGTCCCCCAGTGGGTCCACAGTAAGTTTATGGACTTGTAGGCTAAAATTTAGGGTTTAATTCCCTGCAATGGACACGATGGGTAGTCCATTGTGGCTTTGGTCTAAAAGAAACCATGGTGACATTTACATGCTAATAATATTTTTTAATTCAAAAGCACAAATTGCAACATGCTGCCATTGGGCTGGAAAATATTAACAGTCTTTGTAACAAACATTTTATGCATGAAGTGCACCTATGGCTAAAATATTGAATAATGAAAATATATTTTTAAGAATGTAGAATGCAATTAAGCTAATCATCTTTTTTTTAAAAATTATTAACAGCATCATCCATAGTTCTTGTGTGAATAACTTTTCTAAGTAATTAAATCATGACTATAATTATACTTGTTATAAGGCATTAGTATTAGGCCAATTATATTTTGTAACTCTCTCACTTAGGTAGGTCAAAATGAACATGTCATTACCTTTTAGAGAGTTGCATTCAAATTTGAATATCAATAAACTTGACATTAAAATGTAGTTAATAAATCAAATTTTAATATCATATAAGATTTAATTCTTATTTTATAAGGAAACATTTCCAAAAAACCCTCAATCTCCCCTACTATGACAATTGTGAAATTTGCTCTCAAGGGCTTCCCTCTCTTCTAAATTATTTAACAACTCTCCAAAAAGTGCAAAATTTAACATAAATTACTTATTATAATATAGATATTACTCAGGGAAAGCATAATTTTTATAGCCTTCAATCATACTTATTTACAGAGCCATAAACTAGAATCTCAGACCCACTTGTCACATCCTCTACTTCACAAATTGCCGTTAGTTCTCTCAGACATTTTATACTATATAATTTATAACCAGTAAAAGCCAAAGTTTTAATTTGTCAAATGACGTATGATATTATGTTGTTTTCTGCAGAGAGTATTCATCTCCAGTTTGAAAATCTCTCTCACAGTATTCACATCAATATGTTTAGCTTAAGTTTTAATGGCTCTTATAACATAGGTAAAAAGCCAGATAAATTATTATAGTTATAGGACATTGTTTGCTGTGTGTGTTATTAATTTGCTTCTAAGGTGTATAGTTTAATTAAATGAGAATTGCTTAGTGTACTAGTAACATTTATCCTGTATTTTTTATGGTGATTATATGGTCAGTCATATTGATTGAATGCATATATAGTTGGGGAAGAGAAAATAACAAACAAAATAAGGTTTTACTGAAAAAAAGTTTGGAAGTTATTTAGATTGTTTTAGAGATTATGCAAATGAAATTTGACAATTTTCAGATGAAACTGTTGTCAGTAGATGGCGTGAAATTCTTTAATATGTAAATTGATTATCTGGTAATTGTATAAATAAGCGTTATTTTTCACAAAACATTACACTCCTGAAAATGACTCAGTGACATACATCGGAAAATGTAGAGTGCATGAGGCTGTTTTCCATTCTCATTGGGTTTTTTACTACTTTTTAACCTGTACAGTAAGTATTTGTGTTTTATTGTTGTTTTGAGACTGGAAACAGCCACAGTTTTAGAATTGTGTATAAAATAATTGCTGCTTTTAAAAAGAATTGCGAGTTTTTAACACTGAACGTTACACAAGTGCCAAGAAATTAAAAAAGAAAGTGGACTCTACATGTTTCGATGTTTACCATGTCATCATCAGAAGTAAATGTGTAGAGTCCACATTTGAGAAATGTTTTTAGTTGTGTATCAATTTTAACATTGTGTGTTATATATTTATTATTTTAACATTATACACAAGTGCCAAGAAAATAATATCAATTTAATATATAATTCACTATGAGCACAAGGAAACACCAATGCTCTTAATTAATGACCATGTTATCTACAACATAGATCTCCAGATAAGATGAGATTCATCCCACTCCACATGCTAAGTCAAAAACTTGGGACTAAGATGTGTACAGTTTTGATAAAGGAACACTTGTCATGACATAAATAAACTTGATGAAAGAATGCACTTCACTAACTTAATCCAATTCACAGCATAACATTTATTGTCAAGTAATTTGCTTATATAAATATCATCTCAACAACTACTATGACTGTTGTATCCCAGCCAGCTGGCCTGAAAAGCCACAGTATTGAGCAAAAGGCCACATAAGCATTGGATGTAGTAGATATAATGTGGTTCAAATATTATTATATGCTCTTCCTTACTTTTACTTAGAAGTTCTTATTAATAATAGCAATAGAATGAGACTGTATTGGCAAAGTGGGAACAAAGTGTGCAATGATGGTTGCAGATTTGATGGTGTGCATTACTGGCTATGGGTTTACATTTTGGCTGTACAGTGCAAATTTGAGAAAGAGCTAGCGTATCTGAACAGTCAATGCTTGCACTGAGTAGGATCCTAAACCTAATCAGGACATGCCATTGAAAGGAAATATATATATATATATATATATATATAAGAAAGATAACTTACCAGTCACAACCTCACCAAAGTCCGAAGGATGGCGACAGGTGGAAAGCAGTACCCCAATAATGAAAAAACCCACTCTATGAAGATAGTGGGAGATGAATGTATGAGATGTAGTCTACATGCCCGACTGAAGAATTTCCTCCAACAGATGTTGGAGGTGAGGCACAAGAGAAAAGGTAAGGTGTCTGATTTGATGCAACATCACCTGGAACAAATTTTGGGAAGAAGGAGACAAGGAGGAATATGCCAATTGAATCAGTTGCCAAACCCAACTTGTAAGGGTAGAAAGAAAAAGGTCATGTCCAGAGGATTATTGCCATGGGATGAAATGGTGGGAACAGGAACACAGAATGAGGCCATGCAAGCAATATAACAATGAAAAGCATGTACAGTACGAAAAAGGCTATCCAGATCAGACCAGGAATAAAGGTAGGAAATGGGTGAAAAGGAAATCAGCGAGTAGGAAGAATATCCCTCATGAACCGCCAAAGTTTTGGGTAGAAAAGATTGATGTGGATAAAGGAGAACATATATAGTATGAAGTAAAGTACGTGAAACATTGATGTCAAAGGTATCAGACCGATGATGTCCACAGGCTAAAAGAAGAAAGAAATAAGTCTTAAGGGATAGGTGAAACAAGGAACATAAGGATAAAGGTTCAAATGGATGGAGCGTAAGGCAGTAAAGAACAAGAATGATATTCCAAACCAGAAGATCTGCCCAATGAGGAGGTATACATATCCAGAGTGAACACAATAAAAGGGAGATGGTAGGAGAGGAAAACACTAAATGGTACCAGGAAAAAGGAAGGTGCTGGATAGGGTAGCTCGATAACCAGCTATAGAAAAGACAGAAGCCCCATGACGGAACAGCCAGGTAAGGAAATCCATAATATCAGGAACCATGAGCTCAGAAGGGGAAAACCCAGACTCAAAAACCAATGGCAAAAAATGTTCCATTTATGTTGATAAGCCCCAACAGAAGAAAGTTGAATTGTGCAAGCTAAAAGGGAAGGTGACATGCCTAGACAATCTGAAACACCTTGCTAGGAAACTGATAAATGCCAGGCATGAAGTTAAAGGGCCAGTGACTGAGATTGATAGAGTATGGATGGAGGGAGAGGAAGAAAAAATGAGGGTGTGGTTTGAGCTGAATTAGATGAAGAAACCAAGATTGCACCAGCCAGTAAGGAGCAATTAGAAGGACCTGACAGAGTGGCATGGATGACTGAAATCACTCCGGGAAGGAGTTGGATGGAAGGGTAAACATAAAGGTCGCAGTTGGTCCAGTCCTGAATGGAAGCATCTACAGCCAGAGCCAGAGGATGAGGAACTGGAGACTAAAAAAGAGGTAACTTGGCGATGAGGAAAGTGGCAAAAGCATCCAGATGAGGAGTACCCCATCTATTTCATAGTCACCTGATAACCAGAGAGTTGGGAAACCACTCTCTGGAATAAACCTTGTCGGATCTGGAAAGTCAATCTACCATGAGGTTGAAAGCATCAGGAACATGACATGCAATGAAAGGAATTTGCAGCATGTGGGCCCAATAAAGGGGTTCTAATATCTGACCACAAAAGGAATGGGAATGGGTACTCCCTAGGTTATTGATATAAGCCACAACCTTGGAATTGTCTGAATGGATCCTAACGAGTCGGTTCCATACAATAGAAAGAAAATGAGTTAAAGCACATCATACCACCAGAAGCTCTAAAATCTTAATGTGGTAAAACTTTTCTATCAGAGACTATTGTCTGGAAACCTTTTGTTTATTGACACATGCCCCCTCAACAGGAGAGAAACATGTGTGAACAGCTGCAAATTTGGACGAGGTGGAGGAAGTGGTACTCCAGCTATCATGTTGCTCTTAGTCAACCACCAATGCAGATCATCTGTAAGGGAAGGAGGAAGAATAATTATGGAGCTCAAGGAATTCTGAGCAGAATTTCATTGGTCCTGCAAAGTCCACTAAAGAGAATGCACATGTGACTGACCTAAGGTGAAAAAAGTATCCATAGAAGCTCAAGTCCTCAAAAGCAATAGAACCTTGTGTGCAGAAAAAGAGGGAGCAGTAAAGGCATGGAAAACTGAAAGCTCCATTGAATGCAGATGAAGTGGAGAAGGTTGTGTCTGATTGAGATGGGTGTTGAAAAATATACCCAAGTGAATAAGATATTGAAAATTCACAAGGAAAGGCTTCTCCAGCTTAAGAATCCAACCAACATGAGCTGCTTCTGTCAGCAGAAGATGTGTGTGTTCAGAAGGAGCTAATAGAAGCCAATTGTCCACATAGCAGAGTAAATGCAACCCTCAAGCATGCAGAAGTTGGGTAAATGTTTTGATAATCTGATAAAATACATATGGTGCTGAAGCAAGCCTGAACCCCATACACAACCCCATAATGGACAAACCAAAGATAATGTATGAACTAATGATAAATAGGAATATGGAGTTAAGCATTTGAGACGTCTATCTTGGTCATCCACAGTCCTAAAAAAAAAAATCTCACCTAAGTGTGAGAAAGGACTCCATCGTAAAGAGGGGAAGATGCAATAATTGGTTGAAGCAAAGGAAGATCAAACACAGGTTGCCAGTCCCCAGTTTTCTTAGGGATGAAAAAAAAGCCTGTAGTGAAAACCTGGAAAAAGCAGGCTGACAGGCTTAATAGCTCTCTGTGATAGAAGAGTCTGCACAGCCTCAGATAGATGCTGACTGGTAGCAGGATCCCAAGGTAACAGAAAATATATCATTACAGGAGACAACAGGGACAGGAAAAGTATGAAAAAAACGTTCTGACAAAATCTGGATCACCCAAGGATTGGTAGTTCCTGCCACAGGGGAACAAAATCAACCAAATGCATCCCAACTGGACCAGAAACCACCTGATAATCACTGCTGGAACTGCTAATGATAATGTCAAGAGACACGATGAAGTGTCAAACCTCTAATGGTAGGAACTGGTAAAGGATGGGAGGGTGCAGGATGAAAAACAGTTATAGGAGAGGGCACAGGATCAGAATGATACAAATGGGCAACCAAAGATGAAAGGATCGAATGGTGTCTCCCAGATTCCATACGTGATTCCAAAGACTCAGGAATATCTCCAAAAATAGACCAATGGAGTAAAGGAGCTATTCGTAAGTCACAAAGATAAGTGGAAGGCAGACAAAAATGTGACAAGACAGCATTGCTCCCAATAAGATCCCAACAGCAAAGAAACCACATGTAAAAGGATAGCACTGAGAATGACAATTGTGCCAATGTAGAGGTAATGAAGAAAAAGTTATCCCCTGAAAAAACCCCAGGGGATCAGTGGAGAGCCTCAGAAAGGTGTACATTGGACAAATAGCATAGGAGAGCTGTATGGATAAGAAGAAGGTGGGAAATTGGGAGTTGCAGAAACGAATAAGACTGTCAGGGTCAGCCCCTCACACTGGCAAAAGTGACTTTCACTGCTGAGAGTTGAGAAATGGTTGATCAGCCTGATGATAATATAAAGCATAATGATCAGAAGCCCGTAGAGGGTGAGGTGTGCTGGCACTAGCCCTCAAATGAGAAATGAAATGCTCAGCATGAACCCTGATGTCAGGAGAAGGGAAAAACAAGTTACTCTAAGGACAGGGTGTCATATAATAAGGAAGGAACAGAATAATAGGAAATAAGTGAAATCAATAAAATGGAAAATACCTGAGAAATCATATCTAAAAAGGCTGAGTTAGGCCTGGTAGATTCTACATGTGAGGCATGGGAAGGCAGAGAAAACAAAACTTTCAAAATCCTCATCACCATGAATAGGCTCGAACAATTCAAGATGAAACAAAACATTGTCGGAAGAAGAATCAATCTTCTGAGCAATGATAGCCGAAAAATCCTCAGTCGAGACCCTCCCATGTGACTGTGAAGAGAGCATAATTGAAAAACATCTGCACTAGCTCACTGCCTTACAGAAAATTATAGTTTGGTAGAACCAAATAGAGGGAGTCACATGCATCAGGAGGGAGTGTTGTACTCCTATTGGTGAAGGGTTGTCGCGTGATGATTTACGTGTGAGACACAGTGGACCATGTTGATCGTGGGGTATATGGGAATGCAAAGTTTGTGGCATGTGAAAAAAAATTTGCATATAGAGGGCAGCACTGAATATGAGCAAAGGTAAGGTATCATATCAGAACACAAATTTCATATAAAAAAAAACCTGCTTTATTCTAGTCAATTTCCATTCAACTGACTGTTACAATAACATTGTTATTGCTCTTCTTGACCCCAAAAACCTATGATTTGACACCAAAATTAGATTTCAATGTGCAACGGTTCATGAGATACGGCATTTGCTACTGGGAAATCTGTCATTCTATAAAATGGAAGCAAAAAAATGATGAACTGATTTTAGTAATGTCTACCCAAGTTTTTATAGACATGAATGAGGTGCTAAGAATAACTGAATAGGCTTCTGTATGAATTCAAACATTCGTACGAAGATCTAGCCTATTACAGGATTTCAAAGAGGACGGAAGCAGAAGTTAGTGTGATTAATTACAATATTGATTTTTTGTTGTTGTTGTTGATTGATATTATTAGGAGGCCCTATAATCAATTAAGTCATGGACAAACAAGTAATTTGGTGCATTTATATTGCAAAATTGTTTCAGTAAGCCTAAGTGTTCCACATGGACCCTCATTTATAGTTCAATTAAGGTTAAATGAAACATTTTAACTTTTTTTGGACTGGAGGGTACCATTGATATCCCCTGTTTGTTTTTTTCCTTCTGACATTGGAAATATTTAACCAAACTAGGTAAAACTTAAAACACATTAATAAAATAGTATCTAATTTGGGTTTAAAAAATGTCATATAATTTTATTTAGTTTTCTTAAACATTGTTTTCAATATGTTGTTGAGACATTGTTTGATAAAAAACAAAAAATTCTTCCTTTCATTTCAGAATTAAATTTTTTTTTATTTTTTTGAAAAAGTTCCATTTTATATATTCAATCAGTTTTAACTTGACTGATATTCTTTAACATATTCCCTTAATATTTTAGTTTGCAAATTGCAGTAGTCTCTACTTCATGTATATATATAAATAAAAAACTGACAAAGTTGTATTGGTGACATAGGACCTGACCTTTCAAAATAGCATTAGGTTAGACTAGGTAACAATATTTTTGCAAATAATATTCTTGGTCAAGATTAATTTATATTTAATACAATAAACTTAATAACAATATTCAATAAATAAGTATTTTACTAACTGATATATTTTGCTGTTTCCTGTGGTACCTGCAAATCTAACTAAGCTAACCTAATATCTTTTCATAGATGATATTTTCATAGTCTTCAAACAAATATAACACACAAACATATTTTCACAAAAGAAGATAACATCAAAAGATCTGTGGTTCTTTCTTAAGTATTCTAAACAGAGGCATCGTTAAGGGCTTAAAAGATTCATGGTTCGGGCCCATAGGTCCAGGAATTTTCAGTGTTTCAGTATGATATTGATCATGGCTTTTTATTCTGATTTTTCAAGACACTAATTGGGTATTCAGGGCACAGGCCTTGCGTGCCTGTGCCTAGCCATGTTTCTGCTTCTAAACTTTTCATTAGATTCTGTTGATCTTATCTGCAGAGACTATATCTAATTACTTCCTCACATACCCATAAATTACTTTTCACACCACTTTATTTGCTCTACATTGATATTAAATCTGCACTATTCAATAGAAATTAAACTTTGCAAGTTGCTATTTTCAAAGCTGAGCTTCATTAGTAGTTCAAATCACATATTGTGACATCAAATAAAAAGGAGAAGAAATGAAGGCTGTATTAATAAAAGAAGTGAAAGAAAAGGAAAATCATGTGTGTAACAAAACATGGATGATTATATTTTCAAGGAGTGATAGCTTTTTAGCAAATATATGCTTATATTTTGGGATGGGCAGAAAGTCTAAAACGTCAATATGCATGTTGTTTACAAACATGTCTTCTTAGAGATGTACAGAAAGGAAAGTTGGAACCTTTTAAGGATTTTTCTATGTGAATTATACTGAATAAATGTTATATAATGACAAAATATCAATTCTAAAATATTTTAAGCCAAAAACTGTTGAAATAGATATAATTATTTTTACCTAAATTTTGAAATTTGGTATACAATACATGAAATGTGCTATGCAGGTTAGCAAGGGTTAAGTGCCTCACTACTGACTTTCTTCTTCATTCCTACATCTGTAGTGAATTATTACATTCTATTTATATATATTGTTAACTTTGCAATCATCATGACTCTACCTACACTTATCTATTCTTCACTTTGAAACCTTTATCAACTCTTACAGTAACCCTAGAAAACTAATACTCCAATGAAATTATCACTTCTTATTATGTATACTTATTATTCACATGGCATATCTTACATACCTTTCCTTTGTCAAAATATTCAATGATTTTCAAATAAAGAGCTTCTTTTCTCTGCCACTCTGGTTGCTCTCTGTATCTTTGATCACCTGGAAGAGAACAGTTTGACCACGACAATAAATCTGCATGTAACTTCAGTGTAAAGGCAGCCTCAGTGTAGTTCTCAGCAGGCAGATGAAGATCACATAGTTTGTAAATATAACGAATATACATGTCCTTCCTATTGATCTCATTCTTGTAGAAGTTCTGAAACAAGAAAAACTGGTCAATTTTAAGCATTAAACTACATATTGATAAGTACAGAGGTAGAGAAATTTACAAACTACAAAAAAATACACCAGTTTAAAACACTAATATTTTCCCACAATGAAAATATATTTTCTATTGATACTTACCTTATTTCACATAATACATTTTCTTGTTAATTGCTGCACTTTACATGCACAAATTTTTTCAATTGCCACTACCCCATGTGGTTCTGCTGCATTTTCCCATGAAAATAAGCATGTGGCAATCCTCCACCAATAGAAGTGTGACACACTCTCCTGAAGCAGCTGGCTCCCTCCACACAGGTTAACCCAACCTCAACCTCGAGATTAAGCACAAAAGAAGCACTAAAAGTGGGGAGGAAGGGTGGGAAGTATGAGTGGAAGTAAGTATCTATCAAAACATATTTTCAGTGAGGAAAATATTAACTTCCAACATATCTAACCAGCCCTAACATTATAGCGATAATCTCACACTGAATAGGTGGAAGGACCAGTGCAAAATTAACTTAGATCAGAACCCTTTGGAAAATGTCCAAAGAAGGCCCATGGAGTGTGAATCCTCTTGTTAGAGCAACACACTCATGGGAGACTGAATCACTTCTGTAATAGGTATAATCTATGTCCATTTTGTAAATAAGTGTCACTAAATTGGGCAGAAAAAAAGGAGACACCCAGGACTGTATTCATATTGGTTGATCCAGCTCTACTCCAAAACCAAACTCCCGGGAATTGACTTCAAGGAGAAAGTAGGAAGGAGGGTTCACAACCAATGATTAGAAATATCAGTTGGTTGGGTGTTTTGACAAGGCCAGCTCTTCTGGGAACTAGCTAGAAAGAGAGGGTAGAATGGGTTTCCCCAGTCAATAAGTATGGTTATAAATATAAGGATGTGCCCCATGGTGTAATATGGCTAGGGTGCATCAGACCATACTTGGTGGGTAAACTTCAGTCCAAAACCAGGTGGTATTAGGAATTTATCATCCAGTCAACAGTAGGAGGACAGTCCCTACCAACGTCATCTCAAGATGAGGAGATGGAAAGAAAATGTTTTATTTCGTCGTACTAGATGAGGCATGTGTGCAAATTCACAACCAATACCAGCTACTCAGGAACCCAGAATTCGAGTGATGGTAGGAAGAGAAATGCCACATAGTGGTTCACTCAAATCCAAAACCAGGTGGACTGAGTTTCTGGTCCAGCTCCTTGCCATACCAGATCTCATGAGTCTTAACTTGCAAATAGTAAGCCAGGGGTTCCCTAGTCAACCAGATTGACTATCAGCCAGTCCAGCTCCTTGCCATACCAAACTTCTGAGCCACAGTCTGTTGGAGAAGGGATTCTGAGAGTTTTCCAAGCAAATAGTATATAAATATGTCTGTGGTAGGACAGAAGATCCCTACCAACACATGTATGAGGACTGCATTGTGGTGGATCTACATCATCTACACTAGCAGAACACCACTGCCCTACTCTCAACTGAATGGAACTGAGCACATTCAGAAGGGAGACTCCATGGTCCACCACCCCAGCAGTTAGGAAATGGTAAGTGGTAAAGACTCCCATACTTAACTTGTAGAAGGAAGGGAAAAAAAACATAGTGGAGAATCTGAAAGAATGCTACACTGGTGACTATGTAGTGGGTGACCAAAATAATCCTATTTTGAAAAGCAGACTGTTCTTGATTTATTCAATCAAAAGTATGGCAGGGATAGGCAGCTATCCTCTTCTGCTTTCCTCGTGATAGTCCATGGCTCTTAATGGTCTGGGATGGGCATAATTATAACACAATATACCATGAAACATCCCATCTCAACAGTGTGTGTTATAGGCCTTATTATTTAATATAAATAAAAGTTAGCTGGTGTAGCTCCAATCCCATAACAGGGTGGGAGAACCCCAGCTAACATCTCAACTGGTTCAGCTTCTTGCCATACCAGAATTCCTGGGTCTCTACTTGGTAAATACATATTTTGTTTTAGTGAAAGGCAGATTTAGTGGCAAGTCCATCTCTTTGTCATACCATATCTCCTGGGAACTATCCTGCAGGAGGTAGTATGGAAGGGTGTTCCCCTGCTGATAAGTATACTTGGCCAGGCACCACCTGCCACTGAGCAGGATCCAATATAGAAAAGGTGTTTGATCATATAAGAAAAAAGAAGGAAAGAAAAAAAAATTACTGTCTCACAGTTTAACCAATTTGTGTAGTATGGCAACAGGCAGAATGTGATATCCAGATGAGAAAGAAACAGCCACATGATGGAGATAATGGGAGATAAACATGCTGGGTGTAGTCCACATGCCAGTTGGGATGATTTCCTCCAATGGAAAAAGAAGATGAGCTGCAAGGGACGAGGTAAAATGTTGAATCTAATGAGATGACACCTGAAAACAAAAGTTGAGAATTGGGAGATAGGGATGAATATGGCTGAATGATAAGTTGGCAAATCCAACTTGTGAGGGTGGTGGGTGAAATATCTCTTTTTAGAAGAAGGGTATGAGGGGATACATAAATGGGAACAGAAACCACAAAAGGAAGCCATGCATGAAATTGAACCTTTAAGAGCTTGCACAGGACACAAAAGTCTATCTGGATCCAAATGGAAATAAGGTAGGAAAATTCATGCAAAGGAGACATTACTTTCATGATCAGATGTCTTAGGTATAAAAATGCAATCCAGATACAGGAGAACATGAGAATGTTGGTAAAGAACACGTGATGTGGTGATGGCAAAACATCTGACCTCTGAAGATCACAACCAAAAAAGTAGCAGGAAACAAGTTTTGAGGTATAAATGGTAAAGGGAACAAGTAGCCAAGGGTTCAAATGGAGTTTCTGGAAGGGTTTGGAGAATGATATTAAGGTGCCAATCTGGAAGGATTGTAGAACAGGGAGGGTGAAGGATCTTGAAAAACTGCAACAAAAGGGAAATAGTAGGAGAGGAAAACACCCTGCAGCAACAGGAAAAAATGGAAGGTATTGGATAAGGCTGCTTGATAACTTGTAATGGTAGATATGGAAGATTCAATGTTGAACAGCCATGTAAAAATTTCAGAGACATAAGGAATATTCAGATGGGAAGGAAGATAATCAGGGTGCAAAGGCCATTGACAAAATATATGCCAAGTACTCTGATATATCATGAGGAAAAAATGATATACAGAGTGGGAAAGGAAGCTATATGTGTGTTGGTCAACCCTAGCTGCCTAGTAAGGGACCAAACAAAAGCCATGCTGGAAACTGAAGTGTGACATTTGCAGGATAAAACACTAGCAACTGAGGTTGATGAAGAATGGATTGGGAAAGATGAAGTGGTAACAGAGGTGCTATCAGAAGGAGAGTAAGGACTGGGAACCAAGTGCAAGATGGCCAGAAAGGTGCTATATGAATGACACTACACAAAGTGAAGAGGATGATGGATAAAAACCTGGGAAGGAGATAAATAGGAAGGTAGGTGTACAAATAAATGTTGGTCCAATACAGACTGAAGACATCCACTGCTAAAACCAAAGTATGAGGGACTGAAAACCAAAAAGGGATAATTTAGTATTGAGATGGATGGCAAATGCGACTGGAGGTAGAATTCCTCATTGAATGCATAACCATGTTGGAACGAGAAAACTGATCTGCGACAAAATACGACACACCAAGAAAAGGACATGCAACTAAGCATGTGTGATGTGAATGTGCCCAGAACAGGAGTCCTAACATTCAGAAACAATATAAATGTGATCGGGTGTCACCTTTTCAATGGATGTATGAGACAACAGTTGAAATGTCAGAATGGATCAAAACCAATTTGCCTTGTACTAAGAGTAGGAAATGATTAAAAGTCCGATGTATGGCAAGAAGATGTTTATGATCATTGCCATCTCAATGAAAGACCAAAGGTCCAAGATTTCCAGAGAATCCATACTTGCTCCCCAACCCATAAAAAAAGTATCTGTAAACAAATGCAGCTTGGGCCATGGAGGTGGGAGAGGTACACCCATCATTGTGTTGTCTCACTGAAGGGTGTGAATGGAGTACAACTGATGCGTGAAAGGGCTTTAGTGGAAGCACTTGTCCCAAAAAAAGGAAACAACCTCTCATGTAGAAAGAGTATGAGGTTATTTGGCTTGGAAAACTGTGTGCTCTATTGACTCTACATGAAGAAATGAATTGGGCCCAACTGAGGAGGCAGTGAAAAAAAAACTACCAGATGGAAGTTTTATGTGCTGGGAGAAAGAAGAACTTCTCCAACATGATGAGCCACTTCACATGAGTTGCTTCCCAAATAAGCAACCAAGTGTTTTCATGAGGTGTATGTTGGGATGGAGCTAAGAACAGCCAAGCAACTCTGTAAAAATGGGTCCACAGACTTGGAGTATATGTCTGCAAAAGTGTGAGGAAGGACATCATGGAAAAAAAAAAAACAAGGAAGGTCAATGCAACTGTAGAAACTAAACAGATCTAAAGTCGAATGCCCATTCCTGGCATTCTGGGGAAGGACCATGAACCTGTAATAAAGTCCTGGAGAAATATGATTGACAGGTTCTATAGCACCCTAGAGAAGTAAAATCTGAATTGCCCCAGATAGGCATTTACCAGAAGAAAAAAAATCCATAGAAGCACAAGGATATATAAATGGGGATAAAAGGAAGAGGGTGAGTGTTGGAAGGAATAAACCTTCAGAATACCCCCCCCCCCCAAACACCCTTGGTTCCAAGGAAAAAGTGCACCACAGGAGCACAACCTGTCAACATGTACCCACCTTGCCAAAGTCCACAAAATAGTTGCTAAACTGTTGGCAGCAAGGGATTCAGGGATAGATAAAAACTCCAAACACAAAGGAGGAGTATTGTTGAGAAGTCACCTCCCTTGAATGCAATAATGTGGTAAGATCTCCAAGACTAAAATTTGGAAAAATGGAACCAACTGTAGGGTACATAAGTAGAATGTGTGTAGGTGCGCGAGCTAACAACGTATCCTTACTCAGTATTCCAATCATAGAGTAGCCAACTTGGAAGTGAAAAAACCAAGGAGGATAAGCACACCTACATGGAAAAAAATATATGGGATCCAGTATCCTTCCAAACTCTGTTGGGTAGCTGTGGATAACTGCAAACAGAAGATGACTGCAGGAGAGATAACTGAGGAGTGTGGTAAGGTTCCAATGTAGTCAAGGCCCTTCGATGTGGGAGAAACCTCAGGGAAGTATCGGGGTCAGACCACATTCATGCAACTGGTGGGAGCCAAAATACAGAAAACTGATATAAAGATATGAAACAACATAAATATCCTAGGCCTGAGGGAGACGAGTCTCGATCCCCCCCTCCCATGAATGCAGTTACATAAGAAAATTGGTCAGTATGGATCCCAATATCTGGAGAAAGAAGAAAAATTAGGTAATCTCGGGAAAGGTTCAAATATAGGAGGGAAGGAGAGAAATAATATGAAACAGGGAATACAAGGGGGACACACCTATGACAACATATCCAGGAAGACTAAGAATGGACTGGAAGCACCCACAGGTGGAAATTAAGGATTGCACAGCCAAAGGAGGAGGTGGAGAAGAAAAAATTATCCAAATTGTCTTAATCTTGTCCAGATGTAGCAGTCAAATAAATGTCAAATCTGGGCTTGGAAGAAAACAGTGGGTTGCATAACGGATTCCAACTCTTAAAACACTGCAACCTCCTCAGCCAAAAATTTAGGCACTATAGCCTGAGACACAGGAGGGTAAAGTGAAGTAATAGTTGTCACTACAGAATTCGTGTTCAACAAGAGTGAAGTTCAGAATTAATAAACTACAAGTAGTTTATAACTGTAAAAACAAAGAGAAAAAATAAGATTGTTTAATAAGCAGCACAAAAAATGGAAAAGTTAAATTAAGGTAAAAGCACAAGCAAAAATTGTAATGTATCTTCACACTACTATGCCAAATCTAAAATTGAAGATTGGGTTAACATGTGTAGAGGGAGCCATGTGAAAATACAGCAGAACCACATTAAACATGGGGTAGGTGGGAATTTCAAAGCTAGTGGAGAGCAAATAAATTTGTGCATATAGAGGGCAGCACTAAACATGAAAAGCTATTATGTGAGAGGAGGTAAGATATGATATTGGAAACCAAGGTTCTTAAGGCACTGTATATTATAAAGATGAACATATTTCTGTATGAGCTGAGAAGTAATCAATAGCACATTAGTATGGTTTCATGCCAGGATTTACATTTTTATTAATAAACATACTTCTTTTCCCATACATTTCTCTTTCCAATATGAATTTCTCCTTGTTTAAATATAATCTATAGAAAAAAATACCTGACCATGTTGTATTATAACAACTATATGACTACTGAAATATTTCATATTACATTAATGTTTCACATACACCAGTAAAGAACCTACATATATCTTCCTATTGCATCATTAGTGTTTTGTGTACATGTATAATGACCCTCCAGACATACCTTATACCACAATATTAGTGTTTCACATTCAAAAGAAATATTTCATTTAACACTGCCAGTGTTCCATACACAATTATAAATGAATAAATCACAAACCATAACTTATAACTAATGCAAAAGAGATAAGAGATGGTGAAATAAAAGTTAAATGATAGGAAGCTGTATAATACCCATGATTAAAAAATATTACTACTTTAGTACACAACGTCTGGTTACAACAACAATGAAAAAAAAAAATTTAAGTGTGAAAGGTCTCTCTTTTGTATCTTTGTTATTAAACGCAAAGCTGCACAATGATCTATCTGTGCTGTGCCAACAATTACCGGAACCTGAGGGCATCTATATTTTCAAAGAACAGAAAATGATATAAAATTAAAATTCAGAGATTTCTTAGAATAAAGAGAAGCTAATTTTAAATTGCTTTTTCTTCTCCATCCAAAATCACCACTCAGTTAATTTCAAAAACCATCAAAAACAGAAATTTATCATTTAATTACTTTAGTTTTTATCCCATAAATTTTTGAAACAAAAAAAAACCACTGGAGGTTTTGTACAAGAAAACCTTTAAACATGCACTGACTTGCATATTGATTAATCATATAAGCAATCATGAACCAACACTTTATTTCTACTACAGTTACAGTCTTTTAAAGTTCAACTGCATGCAATATTTTTTCTGCATACAACTTTTAAACTTTGTGCCAAATAGTTCACAAACACCATGCTTCAAGTTTAAAACTTGCAAGGTTATAAACTATTAAAAAACAAAATTTCTGAAAATTTTCAAGTTGTACTTACCAGCAGGTTAACTGTACAACTCATTCGTTTATCTCGATTCTCTTCACCCTCCATCACATTCCTGAAAAAAAAAAATCTGTAACTTACGTGATGTTCAAGAAACAATAAAAAATACAAATTTTGTAAATACAATTCAATTTAATGTGACATTAATTTATTAAAATAATCATTGCAGAAATATCAGTTACAGTTAAGCTAAATTATACATTGAAGATTTTTACCTTCAATGTTATAAACAATTAAAATTAGTGAATGACACCTAAAATGAACAAGTTTTCAATAAGACACACTTACCTGTAATCTAGAAGTCTTTCTAGTAACCTGGTAATTGAATTGATGAATGCAATACCATTTTTTCTCCACACTGGGTCATTTGATCGAACTTTCTCAAGGAGTCTAATAAAAGCAATAAATATATTAAAAATTAAATCTTTTCAACACGTAAACTCTATTCTTATCCCAATTACATATTCAGTGAAAAGTAAATATTTTCCTCCACTGAAAATATATTTCTAATAGATACCTCTTCTCACAGTTACAGCTATTCTCAATTTTACTGCCCTCTAGTGTGCAGCAGGGAGATGGTCATGCCTTCTACAAAGGCAGAATGCCGCCACCCTACTCTCGACTGAGTGGAATTGTGTACACTTTCAGGAGGTTTCCTCCATGATCCACCACCCCAACAGCTGAGAGCATGTTAGTAATAAGGACTCCCGTACTCCACTGGAAGAAGAGAGGAGAGGAAGAAAAGCGTTGGAGGGTCTGGAGGAATGCATCACCAGAGAAAGTGCAATGGGTGACTATGAAAACCTATTTTGAAAAGCAGACCGTTCCTGATTTGGCAATCTAAGGAATGTTAGAGATGGGTAAATAATCTCTTATTGCTTTACTCATGTTAGTCCATGAGTGTATAATCCAGTACGAACATATTTATGAAGCAATATGCCATAAGGAAGAACCTGCAAGTGGTCTTGAGAAACAACCCATTTCAATGTGAGCATGATAGACCTTATAGATCTCACATTACGAATTTTGAATATCAGGCACCACTTGGTATAGGCAGAATCCATAAGATGTAAAGTATTCCCCTGAAAAGAAAATGTACCAATGTATGGAGAATGGCTATAGGGGGAAGACAATATCTGACTCTGCCAGATGTGCAAGTAGTGTGGCTCAAAATTTTAGGGAGTGGTCCACATGCCAGCCTGGATAATTTCCTCCAACAGATGACAAAATTGAGCAGCCAAGGACAGTATGAGGTGATGGATCTGATGTAACGATACACAAAACAATGGACAATATTTGAAAGAAAGGGAGGAATACGCAACGCAATGTAGATAACCTGACAAACCAAGCTGGTAAGGGTAATAGGAAAAATATCACGAGAAATGATGGATTCCAATGAATAAACAAACAAGAGGAAGTTCCATGAAAGGGTGTTGTGCATGACATATAACACTGTAAAGCACAGATCAGACACAGGAGACAATCTAGATAAGAGTGGGATTAAATATGGGATAAGGAAGGAAGGGAAATACCTGGAGATGAAAACACATAATGAAAATGGGAAAAATAAAAGGTAAATGACAGGGCTGCCCCATAACCTGCAATGGTTGATAAAGACAGACCTTTGTCAAACAATTATGTAAAAAAATCAGATACCTGAGGAAGGGGAGAGTTCATATCGGATAAACCAACAATGGAATATTCTGCACTTATGTTGATACACAGACATGGATGAGACAACAGGAATGCTATATGTGTGGATGGTCCCTCACCCCTCACAAGGGACAAAACAAAAGCCACACATGAAGACAGAATAAGGTTGCGGAAGAGGACTGAGAGAGAAGGAAAGGTAACAAAAGTTGTTCCTGGACAAAAACCATAGTTGAGCCAGACAGAAAGGACCCAGCATCGAATGGATTGGATAAGAGAAATTACTCAGGGTAGAAGACAAATGGTAAAGTATGTACAAAGGAAAAAGTTCTTCCAAGCCTAGCTGAATGCATCCACAACCAAAGCTAAATGTAGAACTGGGGACCAAAAGAGGAACTATAACATTTAAATGAGTGGCAAATACATCCAGTTGGGGAAAATCCAACTGAGAACATAGCAATTGGAATAACTGGGGTCGAGATACCACTCCATGGGTCGAATTTTGTCAGGAAGGGACAAATGATCTGCAACAAGATTGAGAGCACCTGGTACGTGACAAACCAGCAAACAAATGTGAAGGTGTGAGGGCAGAAGAGGAGGTCCAGAGTGCAGGAACACAAAAACTGGGATTGAGTGCTTCCATGACTGGTGATGTAACAGATAACTGTCAAGTTGTTGAAATTAATCATAACTTGACAAACAGCAAGAAGTTCCAAAAGGTTTCTATGAAGACCTAACTCCTCTTGAGACCAACAGCCTGAGATCTCCTGTGTATTGCAACATGCAGTTCATCCTGACAACAAGGCACCTGTGAAGATGAGGATATACAGATGGGGAGGAGGAATAGGTACCCTCCATTGTTGTGTTGTTCCTATCTAACCACCAGAGGAAGTTGGACTGAAGGAAAGCAGAAGGGATATCTGTAAAATCCAGAGGGTTCATTGTAGTACCAACTGCAAGGAAAACATGTGGGCACAGCCCAGAGGGATAAGAGCCTTCAGTGATGCCTAAGTCCCCAAAAGACAGAACCTCTTGTACAGGGAGAGAGAAAGAGCTGATAGTGCCCTCTGAACTAAACATTCCATGGATCACAGATGAAAAGGAGAAGGCTGGGCTTGACTGAGATGTCAGTTGAAAAAAAAAGGACCCCAGATGAACAATATATTGAGTGGGGTGGATAACAGACTTCTCTGCCTTGATAACATAATCCACATGACTAGCTTCTCAAATGAGAAGTTGGGTGTGTGAGGAAGACTCTGCGAAGGATGGAGCCAGAAGAAGTCAGTTATCCATATAAAGATGTAAATTAAGCCTGCAAAAATGTAGGAATTGGGCAAATGACTGGACCACCTAACAGAAAGCATAGGGTTCCAATGTCAGCATGAAAGGAAGAGCTTGAAATTGATAAACATAATCCTTGGGGACAAAATTTAAATAACAATGTGAAGCCCAAGTATTAGGGATGTGAAGATAAGCATCATACATATTGAATTTCATAATCCAAAGCCATGGAATAAAGGCCCATCTGAGAGACAGGTAGATTTCCAAGGTGAAACAAGGCACGTCAAGGAAGCAATTCAGGCATGAGAGATCGAAAACAGGATGCTAATACCCAATCTTCTTGAGGATCACAAAAAGTCGGGAATAGAATCCTGGAAGTACAAGATAAACCTGTTTGATGGCACACTTGATGAGAAGGTCTTAAACCACTTCTGTAAGAAGTTGGCAGGGAATGGTATCTTGAGGGGGAAGGAAGGAATTGAAACAAGGCGGTAGGTATGAGGAAAAGGAGGGAAGAGTCCTTCTGACAAAACCTGAATGACCTCAGGGTTTGCAAGTGCATGAGTCTCTGCAGTACATTAGAAGTACAGCCAACTAACCCTTGCACATAATTTTTTCTGCAAAATGTTCAACATAGATCCCAATATCAGGCAAAGGGGGGAAAACAAAAGTCAAAACTTAGTGCTGCAGTTAACAAGGAAGAGGAGGGATCAAATGACACGTAACAAAAACAAAAAACATAACGTACCTGTGATATCAAGTCTAAAAATGGTGACTGAGGTCTAGTTGCTTTAACAGGCTGAGAACATGCCACCACAGCAAAGGTAGGGAGGGAAAAGGCTGTCTAAGTTAACATAATCCTGATCTAAATCCTCTGGTAATAGAAAAATTGCTTGTAGATTGGGAGATCCCTCAGCCCACATAAAAGAAGCCATCTCCTGACGAATTATAGTCAACACTTCCTTCACTGATAACGTTGTACCTGCAGCCGTTGTAACGAGCTGTTGAATACCGGTACAGTCAGTAGCCATTTTACTCTTAATATTAGGATTTATCGCACTCTTATTCATGGAGGACTGTCACATGCTAATTTGCATGCTTATATGCAGCTGAACCATGTGGTATACATGTAGAATTAGATGGGAGTTTCAAGGCTAGTGGCGAGCAAAAATTTGTGCACCAGAGGGCATACAAATTGAGAATAGCTGTAACTGTGAGGGGAGGTAAGTAATTGTATCAGAATAAACAGTTTGTAATCTTTTATAACTAAATGGTTTCAACTGACTTTATAATTTCTAATAAATGTAGTCAAAAGAAACTTTTATAAAAAAAAAAGTTATATTCTGTTAATAGTTCATAAATAAAGAAAAAATATTAATATTGTTTAGCATTTTAATAATGCTTATAAACAAGTACAAGAACAACTTACACTGCACTCAAGTGTTCCCTGGATGCAGCAATGGAAGGTAAGAAAACAATAAATTCTGTATAACAGCTTTTATATAATGGAATTATAAGTTTTAATTTTTTTAAAAAAAGCTTAATATTAATTCTTTATTTAAAAGTTTAGTAAAGTTCTTAAAATTAGAAATGATAATGCCAATGATTTGGTTAGTAATATTTAAACCATAACTTTGAACCTGGAGCAACTGTACAAAAGTACAATTACATCAATTGAAACAATGCAAAAATTCAACTTGTCTACATATGATCAGTTTAAATACTAAGACAACAGCCCATAAAATGATAATTCAACTACACAAACTGTACCCAAAACAGTACCTAATATAAAAACCCAGATGGTAACTTGAACAATGTTGACATTTTTCAGACAGCAACACTGTCAATAATAAAATCAATCAGATTAATTAAACTATTCAATATTTGTAATAAAAACTAATTTAATTTAAATTATCACAAAATAAAAAGAAAATATTTTAATGTTTAAGCAGATACTAAATAAGTGTTCAGATCAAATATTCTTGGAAAAGCAATAGAAAATTAGTAAAAAAACAAGTTAAAACTGAAATTATACTTCAGATCAACTGTATACTTACTATTACAGTGGAAACCTGAGTTTTTAATGTAAGCAACTATCACAGACTACACAGACACATGCACACATGATGGTGCTCAGACTTTCCAGATAAAAACAGATTTAACATACAATGTTAATTTAATTGTCACATCACACACATTTTTCTCTTACTTTAAAAATGCCTTTTGAAGGAATTTTTATAAGAGCTTGATTTCCTTATTTGTTGTTAATGACAACATTTTAACTTATAACCAAATTTATATAGGTATTAAAGTAATATATGCTTTAATCATGATTTTACTGGCTGGATCTATAAACATGTTCTTTTGTGTGTCTTCACTGGGACTTTATCACAGTTTTGTTTCCTGTTCATGCTACTCATAGCAGATATAAGAACTTAGCAGCTAATGGAATTTGCTAATTGATTACATTCAACTAATCAATTATTCTCCCATGAGACTTGGATAGTTGGAATAAAAAGAAAATTAGAAACACAAATTTTGATTAGCTGATTATTTTCGAGCATCATAATAATAAATGATTAAGCTGAAGAACCTTGAATTAGATGAAAATAATAAAGAGAAATCACAATGGCAATATTTCAATTACTTAGCTAGTTATAATAGTGAGAAAACAGTAGTAATCAGAAACACTAATTTTGTTAAGTTGATTATTTTCATGGCATTAATCGAGAGAGTCATAATTTCAATTAATTGACTATTTTACTTGACACTAATTGATGTAATCAATGTTCAAAGTTAATCAATTATATCCATTAATAAAGTCAATCTCCCAGCTCTAGTGGATACATGATACATGTGGTTTCTCCATGGCATAATTACTCAGCTATTATTACATGTAAAAACTAGTACCTAATACAAGATAAAAAACAAAACAGAAACTTTAAATTAGAAATACCTAGATAATTATATAAAAGCCAACTAATAAAATAATAGAAAAATGACTTTGTCATGGCATCATTTAGAACCCAAACAAATTGCATATTCACAAGAATTTAGGATGTTCAAACACAGAAACTAAAAAAAGTGTTGCCAAACGACAGAAAAGTGACCCAAAAAAGTACTCGAAGACTGAATATATATCAGCAGAACAGAATCTAAAGCTCTATATATCTTTATAGCACTACACACATACACAAAGTAAAACTTTCTACCACACATTAAACAGATAACTGTGGCAGGAAAGTGCTGCAAGTAACAAAAGCGTGATACAAGACTCATACAGATTTATGAAAAAATAAACAGATCTTCATATTAATGTAAATAAATCAACTTAATCAAGCATATGCATAGACTCTACCTGTAAGTAGCTCATCACAGTATAAAACTTTCTCACACACAACCCTGTGCCTTAAGTCATATATTAATATGCCAAAATCTAATCAGTTTTGATAAGCTACTGTTGTACCAATATATTATTTTCTACAACTTTCATGCTGTTTGGAAACCCTATGAAAAATAATTATACTATTATGTTAGGATGCCACTAGCTTACATAGTGTTAAACAGCTGTCTGTATTCATCATCTCCTTTATTTTCACTGACTAGAATGTCTAATTTGTCAATGAGTTCAGACTCCACCTGAAAGAGCAAATATAGGTATTTCTTTCTTATTAATAATTCCAACAAAATAAATCTAGCATGCTATGTAAAAAAAATCAACAAACAGAAAATATTTTAGATTGTTAGAAAACTATTTATCTGATTAAAAAATTGTATATCTTACTAGATTTACTAGTATATTTTAACAAACACCACAGCATCTGAAAAATATTACAAGTCACATTTATTTGACTGAAATTTGGAATTAATTTAGACATTTATATATATTTAGAGAATTGGTGGATGGTTGATAGACAGATAAGCAGAGATAACCACAATATAATTGTTTTCATAATCAATCAACATACAGACCAGGTATAAATAATTTTTATTTTTCTCTTAGTTATAATTTCATATGGTCCTTTTTTAAGTTTTTGCATTCTATAAATGTACCTGTTTAAAGTTTCCTCGAGTCTTCTGCTCACATTCCATCATATCAAAAAAAATAGGTAAGGTAGCTTTTCTTAACTCAGTTTCTGGAACAAGTGTTACTTCTAGAAATGGTCCAACCATAGCAGGAATAAAGCACACTTTATGTTCTCCTAGAAGCATATATAGTGATTATAATATGCCATCCTTAACTGCTAGTTTTTACATCAGTATTAATGACTAAGTTAATTACTGATAGTTATATCAACTATTGGTGTCAGCTCAAATTATCATGATTGCTATTACTATATATATATACTAAAACAACTGACAACTATGTCAGCTAGTGATAGTTAATTAAAATAATTGTGTGATCATATTCATTATCACATCAACTACTGAAATGTATTTAAACCTTTCAAACACCTTGATCCCTCATTTAGAGGGCACAAAAGGAAAAATTTGAAAATCTAAAAATAGATACTTATTCTGAACAATCCTTTACAATTCATGCCAATTTTCAGAATGGTCTTTGTATTTAGTACTGAGAGACCTCCAAACTCTTAACCCCATATGGGGATTATAAATATGAAAAATTCCCAAATCTAAATTTTAGTTTATTGATTTCAACAGCTCCTTACATGTTACTGATTTAAATAAAGTGACTGTCAAATCTAAGAGCCTCCAAATTCTCCTTGATCCCTCATTTTTGGGGTCCCTTCAAAACTCTTTTAAAAATATTTCTCTTCTCATATTCTATGGAGTAAAGAGTTTATGCACAAAATTGTAAGAAATTTTGTCAAACAATGTGGGAAGAGTTCATAAATCAAGTAAATAAAGATATAGAGGTAGAACTAATTATTAATATATACATATTACTGTATAGTTTATTACATATAGTGTAGCTTTACAATGTAAAAAAGGATAAAACAATCTTTATACTGATCAATATTTCTCCACCAACAGAAGCATATTTTGGTTAAAAAGTAGATAGAGCACCAAACCTTACAAACCTTCCGAAATACTGACAAAAAAAGCCTTCATGTATAGCTTGGTATTACCTAGAATTAGTCTACTTCAAGCTTTAACCCTTTCCAGGCCTGAGGAGTGTTAACGGTATCCTTTGATTTCTTCTCACAGTGGAAATAATTAATCATATTAGTTCAAAATATTATTTCATTTTAGCATTTTCATAATTTTTATGTTATGAAATTTCTAAAACTTTGTTGTAAGACACTATTTTGAAAAAATAAAACATTAAAAATACTTCCTTTAGTTTGTTTTTTAGTTTATCAGAAAGTTCCATCTTATATCCAGTCAGTTTCACCTTTTCTGATTTTCATTACAGATGGAACAAATATCTGATTGTATATTAATTTTGCCTTGAATCAGATAGCATGTCCATCAGTGGATTATATCACAATATATGTAGGTGATTCCACTTACACATGCATCATATATAATAGATATTGCATCATCTAACCCACTGCCGTTTTCTACTAGCTTCTAAACATAGCAAGATTTCCCCAGCATTAAAGTGGGAGCTCTGGTTGTCATAACTCAAATAATCATTGCACAGTTTAAATACACATCATTGTGTTGCTAACATATGCCAACGATGGTCATGATAGTGACAGTGATGACAAGCATGATTCAAACAATAGTCTCAGCTAGAAATAATGGGAGTAAGCCACTGTCTCATGCTGCCAATTGGTACATTTCCTTAAAGGGCCTGCAACAACCACTCACTCATGCAGAACTGTACATCCGTATTATTAATTTTTAAAAAATAATGAAGAAGTAACTAGTTTTTACTATATTATAAAGGTTAAAGATTTGATATTAAAAATATTATTTTATAATATTTTATATTAAAGATTTTTAATATATATATATAGTCAAACCTACTATGTGATCAAAAAGTACCAAAATCCAATTGAGTATCAGAAGCCAGGTATCCAAATAGTCATTTCCCACTAAATCTTAAATACCTGCTCACACCACTTTATTTACTCTACATTGACATAGATAGTTTATAATCTGATCTATCTAGTCCTATTTAATTAAACAAAGCTTGTATTAATTTACAAAACTGTGTTCAGACCACACACTGCAACATTATAAAGGGATAGGAATGAAAGGTTATAATAATAAAATCACTACAAAAGAAAAATTATGTAAGAAACAAGCTATATTAAAGTTATTTTCTCAAGAGATTTAGTTTCTTAGCAAATTACAAATTTATGCTTTGGGAAGGAAAAAAAAACTTCAAAAAGTGAGCTGTTTACAAATGAGATTCGTTGAAGCTGTGCAAAAATGAAAGCTCTTAACATTTCGTTTTTCATTTTTCTTTGTAAATTCTAAATAAATGTTACACAATTAACAATGTCAATCCAAAAATATTATTTGAATTAAAATTATTAATCTTTATTAATTTGTGCAATTTTATATGCAAGTGTGCAGATAATACTTCCAAGATATTCTGTAATATGGATAATGTCACACTTTAATTTATTCATGCAAGATATTTTCTATCCATTATCTAGTATATACACTTTTCTGCTCTCACCTAACAGAATTGAAGGAATATTTTTCTTTTATAATCTTTCTGTATGGTAATTCCCCTTAATAATTAACAATCATTCTCAAAGTAAAAATTTCATTAGTAAAATCTCAATGTGTGTCACTAAATATTTGTTTTTTTGAGTAACTGGTAAAAACAAATAAAGGAAATTAAATATTCAAGATGCAAGTGCACATCATATAACTTTAGCAACAATTTTCATTTCTCTATGTCACTTGATGTCTCTCTCTGCTCCGAGTTCTCCTTTTTATATTTTCTTTCTTCCCTTATGTGTTTCAAATTGTCCATCAATTAGAAACATCAACTACATGATGTCAGCAGAACACATAGGTTTAAAAAACTAATTTAACTCAAAGATACAATATTGTATAACCTGAGCACTTTTGAAAGGTGAAACTTTCGAAAGCACTCGGGTTATAGGGTATTGTATATTTGAGTTTAAACATCTACTACAGATACTGACAAGTCAGAATTTAAAATAAGAACCTCCCACCAACCACAGAAGCTTCTCCCAACTCTTTTATGCTTTAGAAAGTACTTACTTAATCATGCCTACTTATCAATAGGTACATGTTTATAACCAATAGAAATATCATATTGCAAACAATGAAATTATAATGACTTTATGTTAATTTATTTAAGTAAAAGATGTCATTTCCCAAGCAAATTTTATTAAATGTAGGCTGAAGTCAGTGTTCCAACAACTAATGAAATATTTTCAACCTATTTGTAGATAAGTGAGAAAGCCAAAAATATTTTAATAGTTCTTTGAAATTTCTCTTTTAATGTTTGAATTATTGTATTGATCTTAGAATGCATATTTGAAAGCTGCCTAATTTATTTTTTTGGACAAAAAACATAATGTGAAAATAACAGTCTTAGCGAAGTACACTAAAAGTATGTTCACAAGTCCAAATAGGCCTATAAGCAAATGATAAGTGGTAAGTTTCTTGTTTTTATGTATGTTTTTTATTGATAAATGTTTTTAACAAAATTAACTAAGATGTAAAAGTTACAAACTTATTATGTTATACAAGAAATTGTAAATGAAAAAAATAAATAATTTTTTTTGTGACACTTCTTGAGGAGACCACAAAAAGACATAATTGATATCACACAATGTAACCCAAAACTTTATTTACCATAAACTCTCTGCACTCCTGCTGGGTGATATATTGCTTGTCCCAGTAGTTAAACATGGTTCAAAAAAAATTTAATTAAAGCAACTGTGAAAAGTTAAGAAGTCTAAAGCTCTTAAGATAAACTGTAATTGTCTGCAATCTGCTGTCATTCCATTGAAATAAAATGTATTATTCTTAAAATGAAAAGCACCTTGCTCTCAGCCTGACTTACTAAATTCAGAAACAAAACTTATTAAAAACGCATATTAAAAATTCTGATTTTTTGTGTGTAGAACACGCGTATATTGTTTACTAAAAGCTTTTCAAATACCTTGAAGATATACATAGTAGATTCAGAATTATAGTACACATTAACCTCTTCCAGCTCAGGCATTTCAGATCGCACTCAGGTAAAATGTGAGACATCAAAGTTGGATAAATTATTTGTGATGTATCACCACACATTTTATCCAAAATAAAATTATAACTGAAATGTTGATATTTTAAACTTTCTTTGATTGAGTTTATTAGTATTTGTTTTGGATGAAATAACTTAAACAAAAAAATAGTCTTTAGCTCTAATTGTTGATCTTTAGCCCCCATTTGAAATTTTCATTCAGATTGTGTAAATAAATATATTTTCTGTCTGCACAGAGAAAAAAAAGTCAAAATATAAAACAAAGTGTAGATTTGGAACAATTTGAAGCTTAGTTTAGCTAAGATAGTTTAAAAACAGTGAATTTGAAGTTAGTGTGATGTCAATAACTGCAAAATTCAGCTGTCCACATGTTTTTACAACTTTCTTGTTTCTAAAACTAAAAAACTCTGGATTATTTTCTTTCTCACAATCTCTTGTCCATAGAAATCCCTTTCTTCCTTACATAGAATGGAAATTTCCCACATTTTTTTTGTTAGTGCTTCATTAGGCTTGTTGCATGCTGCGTTTGAAACAGCTTTAAATTATTAACAGTTTTGTATTGATTGTGTGCTATGGAAAGGTAATGAATTAACTTAACAGGTTTCTGTGTGTGTTTCTTTATTTTGTTTGAGTATTTGCTTTGACAGATCAATTTCTAAAGATGTAATTATTGTTATTTGACACCTATGGGAGAAGGTAATCGTTTCTACTTATAAAGTCCACAAAAGGGGAAACAGAACAGACCCGATAAGTCATTGTGTGCTCTAGCCTTTAACATTTGACACAGTAGTATAGGACAAAAATAGGTTTTATGTATAAGATAAAACAATATAAATACTGTATATTTATATTAGTTCTAATGCTTTGGAAGATATTTTATTGCACTATTTCTTTTAACCAAATAGGATAATGCATGATATACTGCTCGTAACAATTGCTAGGAACTTTCTACCTGCATGATCATACGTATGCTAATGTTTTGTATTAGTTTATTGGAATTAAATAGATAAAAAAACAAATAACAATGGTGTGCAAAGATATAAAACTTATCTAAATGTTTAATACACGTCTTTTGATTGGACAGTAATCATTTTGTGTAATAAACATTTTAAGCAATGACGAAATGAAACACAGATATCGATGAATCTCGAGTAACAGCATCTGTGTAACATACAGGTCAATTGTGTAAGAAACGTAGGTTAAAGGCATATTACCAGAATGGCACAGTATATAATTATGTTATACAATGATTTTTATTTCATTGTAATACTTAAATTTATCAAAAAATAAAACTTATATTTCAAAATGTCCCCTGGTTATTGTGACTTATTGTTGAAAGTCAGATTTGAAGACTTTTTATTAATGAAAGATCAAAATTGGCATTATACCATATAGTGACAGCAAAATGGTTATTTCTTAAATATGGGCTCAGTCCAATGGTTCAACCCCATGTATACAGGATTAAGCCTATTCCAATACATTTTAGAGCCATTTGATAGAATTATAAAGTAAATCTGTATAGTACTACCTAGTTTATCCCACATGGAAAGAATCTGGAAACCCATCAACACTCGCATGTCTCCATACCTAAAAAAAAAAAGAAATGCAAATTAAAATGAAAAAGATGAATACATTTTAGGACTGAAATGCAGTTTAGTTACTTACTTCTAAAGGGACAGAAAAATACAATCTGTACCAACATATGCAATAATAAAAGTTCCTACCAGACATTAGATTTAACCAAAGTCAGACCAGTAGACATAGTGAGGATGGAAAATAGTTAATTTATCAAGAGATTGACAATTCTTTAATTTATATTTTCTTATTCCAAAGTAAATTTTAATCCCAAAAAAGTTAATTCCTAAACTGAAATGAAGGAAAGGTCTGGAAATACAGAGAACCAGATGTGGAAGGAAGCTTGACAAAACACAGGAACAATTAGTAAATTAAATAATATTTGCAAGCACAATACTTTCAAGACAGACCAAAGTATTATCGAAATGTGTAACAAGTTTCAGCCATAAACATCATTGTGCTTGCAAATAGTTGATTTTTAATTTACTACTGCGTTACCATAATGTGCTTCCCTCCATAAGCATCCAAATGACCCTTTTTCACATTCAGGGTTTAAGAAGCACACACAAAAAAGCCGGCAGCATATCAAGGATATTTACACCATAAACACCAACTCTGAACTAATAACAAATAACTAGACATTGTCCAAAAATTTACAAGTAAATGTTCAAAGGAAACATTTGGCAATGTCACAACCTAAACATATAGGTTTTTGAAAGTTATTAACAGATTTTACTGTATCATCATTAAAGTATAAATAACTGGAGAAGAAATTTCATATCCAGTAGGAAACTAAATGGATATTCTTTTAGAGGTGAATGTTGTTTATTGTTGAATAGTTCTTTGTTTTGTTTTTCAAGTTTACAAAACTGTTCAATAATAGTATTGTAAAATACATCATAAAAGAGAAGAAACAGATGGGAAACTCTTCAAAGTGAATCTCCATGTAAAAGCTTTCTGTGTTAAATTTATTGTCTATGTGTACAAATCATCATTAATCAAAAGTCATTATGTTAGCAATCTGTAATTTTAAGGTTAAAAAAAGAGACTTTACCAGAGTCTTCTTACCAGAGACTTAAAAGCAACCAACCAATAGTAGAGGTGATAGTAAATTTTATTATTGCACTGATAAACATAAACTAAAGTATAAAAGTAAAATTACAAGAATTTTTTGAAATGATATAAATAATGTCTACAGTAATAAATCAGTATATTAAGTTAAATACTGAACAAGAGCTTTACCACCAACTGTGTTAGTTACCTAGGTGTAATTTCACACTTTCCAACATTGCCTCTAGTCTACTTCGCATCACAATGGCTGTTGAAGATTTCTTACCGAGCACTGTGATTTTAGACCAATTAATCTGAGTTGTATTATTGAATCTAATAACACAGCAATTTTGAGATAACATTTTCCTAGATACCCTTCTTTTTCAAACATATTTTGAACTCAAACTAATAAAGGGAAAATGGAAACATAATCCACCATTAACTAATATAGGTAAGCTTCATCCAGGAAGTTTCATTTATCTTTTTACCCTCCTTCTCTAGCAATGATTATTATCATATTCTTCCTCAAGTATCCTGAATTTCTCAACTTCATTGCTACTGTGGTTCTCTATTCAAAGGCAATTCACATGTTTTTTTCTTTTCACATTTTGCCTGCCCAACATGCAACGTAATTTTCATTTTAAGATTAAAAATATTTTTATTTATATATCAAAAAATTTTGAAATTTCACACACAAAATCTTAATAACATCCAGATAGCTATAAAACATTTCTTAAGAAAAAACTTTATATTTTATTTGTTATTTTCAGTAATTAATCTCTGTACGGGTTTGGTAGATTTGTTCGATCTCGTAACCATAATGAAACAATAGGAAATAAATATAAATTATGCCTCTTTAATTCTAGAATGACAACAAATTATAACACGAAAACATAAATGTTTAGACTAAATAGCTTAAATCTCATAACATTATACATTTATATATATTTGGGTAGATTATAGTGTTTGAAACTAGAATATGAATAAAAAATGTTCAGCTATTAGGATTATTATTAAAGTTTAGGGAAAAACTACTTTATAGTTAGATATTTCACATTAAGAAAGAACTAACAATTTGTAGAAATGATATAAATAATATTTTTTTATTGAAAAGAAATAATAAAACATAAAGACAGTTGCTTACTGACAGACTAAAATGTACTATTGTTATTGTATTTTAGCTGGAAGTTAGACACTTAAGAATTTAGTGTAATTGTGAAAGTAAGTGTGCATAAACATATGAAGTAAAAATATAGGTATTCAAATGTTGTATTATAAACTACAGTTATTCATTTCAGAAAAATGTTGCACCTTCTGTACCTAGAAATTTGTCAATAAGCACTATTTTTCTTGCTTAATTTAGGTATTTTAATAATTTTCTAAAAACAGTATGGGTAGCTTTATATTTTAAGAGCTTAGAAATAAGTATTTGCTATTTATTTAGATAGTAAACTTTAATTTACTGTCAGATAGATCACTTTCATTAAAGTTGGGGAGTCTTCATATAGCAAGTCATCACAAAAATAAATGAGTAATGGTATTAAAGTTAGAACTATTTTAATCAAATGTATTACAATTATAGAAGTTTAAACTTCTCAATAGTTAAAACCTATTTGTAAAATTCTAGGGCAAGGACAATCTGGATGCTAACTAAAAATCTTCTTTACCACTGGTCTGTTAGTGTATTCTGTCCTAATGAACAACAAAACACAATTTCTGTCTAATAAACAAGCATTAATGTAGAATAAAGGCTAGTAAATTACCAAAGTTTTAAGGTCTTCTAATCAGTAGCTGATCTTACAATATGCACTTACAATTGTGAGGATGTTACATTGTGTGTAAAAAAGAAAGAAAGAAAAAAGAAACGTTCCACAGAAACCCTAAGATTATTCAAACTACTACAATACGCTTACACTGAACATAGGTCTTTAAATTTCTCTTCATTGACTATTTTTGCCATTCAGTGTTGTTTTGAGTGAACTTGTTAGTTTTTTCAATGCAACAAAAAAAGTGCTTTCCCATTTTATTAGCAGACTGTTTTTTGCATATCTCTGCCATTGATTAGTTTGACTAAATGCAATTGAAATGTAATTGTGATCTTTCAGTTTTTGTAGACTTTTTTGTGCACTTAGGTTATTTATGTTTACGTACAATAAAAGCTTTTTGTTTTTATAACCAATTTTTGTTTGAACATGCCATACAATCACTTGTGAAATTAATCTGGAAACCAAGATAGATAATAGCATTATTCATTATTGTTATTTTTTTGATAAATAAAAATTTTAGAACAAACTTTTTGTATACCGTGGCTTGGAGTATGAACGTGTTGGAGCTTTTACCCAGCGGCTTCAGACAGAATTTCCACAGGCCCAGTTTCTCATGAAAAACACACCTCCTGATGAAAGCATAATGAACTCTGATGGCCAATGTATCCTTTTGTTTCATCAAAACCTTTGAAAATTAAGATATTTTTTTATATTTTTTTCTGACTTAAGCTTTATAGTCCTATCAGTATTTACCAGAGTTGTGTATGAAATATACAAAGAAACTATAGTTTATATCCTTTATCACACTTTTGTTTTTCATTTGTAATATATAACTTTTCTACTACATTATTTTTTTTACCTAACAAATCGCATTATATATTGAATACTTTTTAGTGCTAATGAAGTCTCTCAGACACTTGACAAAAAGTGTGAAACTGTTTGTTTCTAAAATTATTCTTTTGGAGTAGATGCTACCTGTTTTAAATCATATTCTGTGGTAAAAAAAATTCATGCATCAATTAGTGTTAAGTGCATGACTAGTAAGATGGAACATTACACTATAAAGTTGGTAATGTTGCTACTCCATGCCCTAAATTTTATTCAAATCATGAATTCTTTGTACTTGGTGATTGGTGACACATATTTCTGCAAAACAAAAGTAGTACTTGTCCATTTTTGCATTGAGGCTTGAGAATTATTTGAGACAAGGACAATATATTCATTCACAATGGAATATTTTTACTAAGTTAGAGATTTGTTTCTTTTTGGAATATCAATGTAGTCATGTAGGGCACCAAAGTTAAAACATTATTTTAGGGTTTCATAGTTTGATCAACAATCAGGCAGGTACATCTTCACATGTATTGGTATAACTATAGGCTCTAAGGGAATGGTTTTATTTGTATAAAAGAAAAATTCAGTCAGTAACACATAATTTTTCTATGCAGCTATAATAATTTTAAGCAAAATTTACCATTATGAGGTAAAATAGAGTTATTGGAGTAATACCAATTACTGTTAGAGAATCTGTAGACTCAAAAAGACTATTAATTGTCTAGTAAGTTTTCTTGGATTATTCATTTTGTTTTATTTTGGCATCCTACAATACTTTCCAAGTCTTTTTTTCTGTTCACCATTAATAGCTGTTATATTCTTTAACTATTTTATTAGATATTCAGATCTGTAATGTGAAGCCAATTCCTGAGTTTCGACCTGAATTTGAAGGCCAACATGTTCCAGAAAAGGTGTTAAGTTACTATCTAGTCAATGATGTACGAACCTTTCAGTTTGATAGGCCTGTTCACAAGGGTCCCATTGATAAAGACAACGAATTCAAGGTAAATGTGACTCTTCTGACATTTGTTTTAGTGCTTGAAATAGAGTATGTTTGACAAACTTTTAATGTAGTGTTTGAAATTTATTTTCCAGTTAATTTCTCATTCTTTAATCATTTTTTAATCAACATTTACATGTGTTGTGTTAAAGAGTGGTTTGTAAGATAATATTTTTAATAAAGTGTACAATACAGTATTTCCAACAGCTATTCTACAGTTGTTTTTTTTTCTTGTGCAGAGAATTTAAGCTTGTCATCGTAACTGTTATTACTTAATTTGTCCAATAACAGTTAATTACTTTTGTCACCCTAATATAGAGTTTATGGATTGAACGCACAACTCTAACTACAGCTTCTCGTCTTCCTGGAATCTTACGGTGGTTTGAAGTGATTGACCGCCAGTTAGAAGAAATTTCACCAATTGCACATGCTTGGGAAACTGTGGATCACATGAACAAAGAACTGCGACGACTGATAGCTCAGTACACCAATGACCCCAAAAGATCCATCAGTCCACTTAGCATGAGACTTCAGGGAGTGATTGAAGCTGCAGTCAATGGAGGAATTGCTAAGTATCAAGAAGCATTTTTTACCCATAGCTTTGCTAATCAGAACCCAGAACAAGCTGAGTATATTGATCGACTCAAGATTCTAATACTAGAGAAGGTACGACCTATTCTCAGAAAATTTGTGCTAATTATTCAAAACTTAGTTTTTAAGTCTTGATTGGATGTACTAAATTTGCAATATCTTTTTTTAAATACTCATTACTCATGTTTTATGGCATATCTATACAGGTATACTGTATATTTATACCTGTTTATGCGATTCACATTTTATGTATTTAAGTTAGCATATCTTTGTAAATTTTATTTTTCTTGAAATACAGGACTTTTTTGGGCTTTTCCTTGAATATGTTTACCAGTATTTGCAGTGTATTTCATTTACACACATGCTAAAACAAAATTAATATTCAGAATCACTTCACAGTACTACTTGTATTTTTGTTATCTTCAGTTTTTACTATAGTTATATTTTTTAAAGCTTTGATTTTTGAAGTTCCCTTGTTTTACAGGTTCAGATCCTTGAGGGGGGCCTATCTCTTCATGGAAGATTGGCTCCACCAGAAGTCCTTCCCCTTCATCACAGACTAGTTGACAGATTTGCTGTTATGAAACAGTCAATAAGAGAAGCTGGCTCTCCAAACATGGTGGCTCGGTTAAGCCTAGGTAGAAAAGGGGAGTTACCACCCACGCCAGTTGCTGTTGGAGAATCAGGAGACACAAGAAGGCCATCAATTGTCCAGTATGTAATCATGGTTTATTCATTTTGTTTTATCATTATAACTGTTTTAGCATCTTCCAATTACTTTATGATTTTTTTTGTTACATTTTTAATGTTCTTTCTTACCAATTTTATCAAATCATTCAGATATATTTATTATACCAGCCTAATAACACATTTACAGAGTGTGGTGTTATTCTAAATCAATTTTGACTTGGCAACAAGTATAAGATTTGTGCCTTTTCGAATGTTTTTAGAAATTGGGGGAAGTAAGGAGAATAATTTTTATGAATTATGAAACTAGTAATTGCTTCTAAAAATAATTATTTTTATACTGTTAAAATCTCTGTCATCTTTATTTAGTTTGCTTATAATATATAAAAATAGAAAGAAATTTCTTTGTTATTTTTTGTTTATACTCATGACGCTAATAATAGAACCTTTAAACTGTATTCACTGGTTGTTATTAATTCTTGACTATAAGTTTTTTCATTAACAAGTAAGTATGTCAATAATGTAACTTATGTTAAATTATAGTTTTCAAACCCATTGAAGTGGATGATCAGTTATAACTCACACAGAAGTATTCATTCAAAGATATAAAAAGAGGTTAATATTACTGAAGAGTAACAACTCAAACACACACACACACACACACACACACATGCACAGAACTACATAAAACTAACAAAAAATAGAAAGAAAATGTAGCTCATGGTAGAAACTTAAGGGCTTTATGCACTGATGTGTTCACATATGTTGTACTAGTGGCTCAAATCACAAAGTGTAGTGTATTTAAAACTAGACAAGACTTGTGAATAAAATTAGTATGTCAGGCTTTAATTTTATTACCTTAAACATTTCCTATTTATATACCTTTATATATGGTATGATGATTCTTCTTTCAAGACAAACAGTCCTTGTATGTAGTTTTGATTCTTTAGCTCCATAATTGATAACTGGCCAAGGCTGTTATTTTGATATTTTGGTACAATAATTACTGACTGTCAGTGATTGTAGCTTGATACTTTAGTTCTGTAAATGACAAATGTATTGTTTCATACTTCAGATCAGTTATCAGAGTGTGTCCGGTTCTTTAGTTTTTTTTATGCTTTGGTTAGCACAATTAACAGATGTACATTACTTTAAACACATTGCTACCAAGATTGGAATAACTTCTTGCATGTAAAGTTACATATATTAGCTTTGTGATTGATAGTTGTCTGTGTTTGCAGCTTCTTACTTTATATTCATTACTATCACGATTGTCAAGTGTCTTTAGCTTGTTTACCTGATTCTTTGATTGCTATTTTCTATGCCTGTAATTTGTTACAAAACAGGCATTATTACAAAGATTAGCAGGTATCTGTGTCTACAGTTTGTTACTTAATTGCATGATTGTCTATTGTTTATGCTCATCACAATGATAAATATGTGGGCTAGTAGATTTGATTTCTCGTATGTAAGATTTAAGCTTATTTCTGTCTGCATTTAGTACTCCATTGCCCCCAGTCCCAGCAGAAGTCATGTTAAAGAAACCCCCACCAGACTGTGCTAGCAATCGATCTTCATCTTCAGGGTCAAGTTTGTATGGGCAACTTTTACCAGAAGGATCTGATGAGGATGATATCTACACCAAACCTCAGGTGTGTTGTGGGCAGATGTAAAAACCTTGTATTTGTTATGAATTGAACAATATTATACTAAGTAAATATATATATATATACATTGCTGTAATAACAGTGGATAATTTTTTATTTGTCTTTTTGCAAGAAATTGCTTGAAACATATATATATATGGCGTTTTTTTCCCCTCACTCTTTCTTTGGAATATATGTTTTTATGTGATTGAGCTGTACATGTTATTTACACAATTTTACAGTTTATTTATGTTTATTACTCCCAGTAAGATTTTTTACTCCTTTATGGTGAGAAAAATTTGTATAGTGTTGGCATTATTGTTACTTCATCACAGGCACTAAACTAGTGTGATTTTCACATATTTTTTTTGTTTAACTTTGTACTGCCTGTTATAAAATGCACCTTGCTTCAAAGCTCTAGCACATTTTTATAAATGACAGATGTGTTGTGTCCATGTCTGTATATGAATGCAATTAATAAGGAAGTATATTTATGTATTGTAAACCATGAAACTAACTTCTTTGTTCTCAACACGAGGTAAAGATGATATTGTATAGTTGTAACATAGACAAGCATACATCTCTATCTGTGTCCTTTTGTCAGGACTACGCAGAACCTAGGAGCATAGTTGACAGACCACTACCCCAACCCCCTGCACGAGCCTCTGGATCTTTAACCCCTTGTGGTCCCCCACCACTTCCTACTCGACCCCGTTCAGTGACCCTGGGGCCCTCAGCTGACTCTAGGGTAACTTGTTTTCAAGTGCTGAGATCAGATGATGATGTAGCTCAGTGTCGTCTAGTAGTGGTGCTTTCTCTCACTCAGAACACTGCATGATCATCTTTGCTGCATTAAATCTTTCTGTCATGTTCTGTGTTATGTATTTATTTTAGAATAAGAAACCTTTTTACATTTTTTAATGATAATGTCATACAATTAGTCTCTTATTTCTGTTTTATTTTCTGCTTTAGTTCTTCTCTGTCTAAATTTATAAACTGTTATCTTTTTTGGTTTTGATCATGCACAATACTTTTAACAAATAAGTTTCTTTAGGATTTTATTCAATTTTACTTTGAAATTTATACTGCTTACGTTGTACGTTTGATTAATTCTGATAATGACAACTCTACTCAATTAAATTCTCTTAAGTGTAATAATGATTGTCAGTTTCCTAGATTTTGTAGTAGCAATCTTTTTTAATTTACATTATTTGTCCTTGTGGTACATAATATACCCCATTTGTAAAGAAATTTAATATTTGAACAGTTTCTATCCAACCTTAACTGTTTAAATTGTCCTTTTATTTCAGTATGATAATGTATATTGCTTACATATTTTTTAACCTTAGCCTCAGTATTTTAGATTATTTCACTCTATTTTTAAGATTACATTAGGTAAATATTATTTCTGTAGTTTAATCAGTTTTTGTTTAAATATGCTGTTCAGAATGTCTCTTTTATTTTTGCTTGTGCATAGTCAGTGCTATTTTAGTCACCATGTGTGCTTTGTATAGATGAAATAAAATTCAGTATATTCTTGATCATTTAGAATATGATTTCTAATTGTTGGTACATATTTTTTACTAGTTAATATGTTATGCTTCTTTTAAATTCAAAAGGTAATTTATTATAAGCTTTTTATCTCAAGATATAATTTATACCCTTTGATTTCTTTAGAACAGACATCTTTACATAAATTTTGCATTAGCTATTCATTTCAATTTTAGGGCTCAGAGCGATCTTCTCGAGTAATATCTCGTTCTCGAGACCTTCCATCTGCAACTTCGGATCCAGCTGATGAAATCCTTGGGTATGCTTCACCATCTTCACACCAACATGGATCTTCTAAAACTGCAAGTCCAAAATTTTCCACTAAATGGCCTCACACACCTGAAAATATTTCACCTGCCCCAATGACACGTAATAGTTGGTCAGAACCAAGCTGTTCAGAGAGTGCTCCACCATTACCACCACGTTCTGATAAAGGTCAGACCATGAAGTAGTAATTATTGTACAATAGACAGAAGTCACAGTTAATTTTTATAATTTTTTTTTTTATTACTTGTTTAACTTTTAATAGAAAGCACGAATTTGTAGTAATTTAAATATACGTGAAAAAATTTAAGTTTCCTTTTAAGTATTTTGATAAATAAATAGTCCATATATTTCCCCCTAGACATTTTAATCACAGATGTGGACTTAAAAGCTTTGTTGTTGTTTTTTCCTAATTTTTCTTGGAAATATGTTTAGATATTTTTGAGATTATTATAATAATTTTTAATATGAAAACTGAAGTGATGAAGTGAAAGACATCAAACCATGTGTCACTTTGCTGTTGAAGAAATCATTGTTATTCATTATTGGTATGTATAGTTTAAGGAACAATTCCAAGAAGATTAACTATTTCTTTTGATGATGGATATACAAAGTTAAGTTTAAAATATTTTCATGGTGAGGAATGTACAACTTCAATTAAACTGCTTTCAATATTGGAGGATACATACGAACTACTATAATGCTGAAGAAAATATATTTTTATGTAGAAACATGAAATATGAGATAACTTTATTAATGATATATATAATTTAAGACAAAAGGTTATTGAGTAACTGTTTATAATTGCTGTTGTTATGTATCTCTTAAGAAAAAGTGTATTTCTAATAATGAGATGTATATATGTAGTTTGATATGGTGAAATTATTTGCATTTGTTAGCAGTACACGTATAGATTAAATTAATGTAAGATGATAAATTATTATTAATAATAATAGTAAGGGATGTATAACACATGTTGAGTTCAAAAGATGAAAACTTACAAAAAGAGTTGTTTTAAACAGTGAGAAATTAATAAAAAAATGTATTAGGGCATTTACTACCTATTGTTATACCAAAGTGAAGCAGTTTGATGCAAAAATGTTGAAATGTGCTTTTTTTATTGATTAGAAACTACCTGCTTCAAGAGAACATATCTAACTTTTTTCATGTTTTGTATAAAATACACCATTGGGAAAAATTTTGCCTAGCTCTGAAAAGTTATTTTATAAATTTGTAATCAGGCATAATAATTGTATGATTTTGATGAAAGTCCAATTTTATATAAACTAGTTTAATTACTTTTTAGTTTTAAAAATGTTATTTTATTACACTGAAGCTGTATGGCTAGCTAAGATTATCCATTAATTCTCTCAATTAGTCATTTTGAGAAAACTTCAGTTTTTTGTTTATTTCTAGCACTTAGGTGCTGGGTATGGCCTAATGGTTAGCTTGCTAGACTGTGGATTCTAGGGTCCTTGGTTTGCATCCCAAATCCCCCAAAAAATGTGTGTTTCACACTTTGAGGATGCAGATGAGTTATAAGAATGACTGCCAAATCCCATTATTTGGCCCCCCTATGGCACAGCGATATGTCCGTGAACTTACAATGCTAGAAACTGGGTTTCAATACCCATGGTGGGCAGAGCACAGAAAACCCATTGTGTAGCTTTGTGCTTAATTACAAACAAACAAACACGTTATTTGATTAATGGAGCCCAAGCATTTGTGTGGGTGCTGTTGAGTAGCTGCCTTCTCTCTAGTCTATCAGTTCAAAATTATGGACAGTTAATACATATAGCCATTGTGTTACTTTATGCAAATATGTGAAACAATCAAAATCTAGCACCTATCCCAAAGATTTTTAAGCCAGTTGAATAATTATTGTGTTTATTTATGTTAAACGTTTTTAGGAAATAATAAAGTTTTATTTTCATATGTAAACAGTAGCTTGAAAAACAAAAACAATCCACAGAATATTTTTGGGTGGGTTGAAGTCCAATGTCATTTCACCCTTTTTCTGGCAACAAATAAACAATTGTGAATGATAAGAACAGTGCAGTCTGTATTACCTTAAAGGTCTGGCTGAATGTGTTATACAGACTGTCAAGTGTATGTTTGCAAAGTTTGTGAATCCTAATGTGATGAAATGAACTGGGATAAACACCAGCAGTTATTTTTATTTTTGTCTGTTTCAATGAATGAAAATCAAAGTTATGTTGTATGTTAGTGACAGGTGTAAAGTCAAATAACTCCAGGAACTTATTCCCATATCAGCTGATCATTTATGTGTTAGTTTTTAAGTTTTACTGTCTACAGTGCATTTATCGACAGAAAGACCAGATGCATTATATTTTTGTTAAACAACATCCCAATGTTAAGTAAGCTTTGTGAAAATGACCTGCTAGGTCAAATTATTTGTTGACCATCAAACAGTATAATTTCATGTGTGCATGAAATACCTATAGTTGTTTACACATTGTCATCTACATAAAAACAATTTGTATCAACCCTGACTTCCCTGGACTTTGAAGTTTGTATGTCATCTTTCAGTAAAAGCCTTCTTAAATGCTGTGCCTTGTGACCCCTTGTAATTTTCTCTCCAAGATGCTTTGAAATTGTAAAGTGCTTACAACTTATAAAAATAAAGTATAGATGTTGTAAAGAATCAAACATTATCTGCTCAACATATACTAAAAATATGAACGTTCTAATGCCCAGTATATCCAATTTCCATTTTATATTTTTCTAAACTCTGATTGATTTCCAAACAAATAATTTAGTCTCATTGAGAAATGGAAAACAAAAATGGTATCTAGGTTTTAAAACTAAAAAGAAATTATGCATTTGAAGTTTAGTTAAATGAAAATTAGACCTCTCTGTAACTTAGAATATATTGTTATTTTATTAATAAAAAAAATTTAAGTTTTTAGTACAAATTTCTTTACTGTAATTAGTTAAAAGTTCAGTACAAAGTTTGTCCATCATTGAATTCATTATCTTGTTCTTTGGAAATGTTTTGCATTTTCAAAGGCTAAAAATCCAAGATTTGTCTATCTTTGCATCTGGCTTACTTACTAGAAAAATGTTTGAGCAGAACTGAGCAAGACGTCTAGCATGTTAATGATATGTGAAAATAGAGAATTTGGTGATACAAATAATTAAATCAAGGAGGATGGAAGACTGGTGTATATATATAAACTTTTATAACATCATCAAGACTTTCAAAGTTGTCCTTATAAAAACTGTATCTGTAAAAATAGTTGTTAGAACAGTACTTCTTGAAGGGAAACTGCTTCAATACTAATTTTATAGATGTTAACATAAGAAAATAGTTTAGATAGTTTAGTGGTAGGGAAAACATTTCAGTAAAAATGTGGCTGAGATATATTGTCTGAAAGGTTGAGGACAGCAAGAACACTTGGTTTTGAAAAAAATGTTTATATATAAAGAAACCAAATTCAAAACAAATGATGGTTTTAGTTTAGAGTAGTGTTGAACATTAGCGAAATATCAAGAAGTATTGAGTGTAAATAAATAAAGTAAGACATTTAACCTGAGATGCAATTAAATAACCAGAATAATTAGATCTCAGGATTTCAAATAAAACTATCACCTAGATAAAAAGAAAATCTGTACTGAAGTTACTAACAATTTAGAGTTGTATACTAGTTTCTGTGAACTCTTTAATTTGATTTGTTTCAGAACTTAATGCTGGTTATAAGTCTCTTTCTGAAAATATTTGTGCTGGGTGTGGCCTAGTGGCTATCATATTAAGTTCCACAGTTTGCATCCCATTGATAAAAAAGTATTGTGCTTCACATGTTGAGGTGGTGGTGCATTATGAGAGTGGCAATCAAATTTCATGATTCAATTTCCATAGCCCAAGCATTGGTAGTGGGTGTTATTGACTAGCTACTTTCCCTCTAGTCTATCAGTTCAAAATTAGGAATGACTAATGCTCATACATAGTTTTGTGCAAATATCCAAAAACAAAAACTGAAAATTCTCAGTGTTCATCATAACAGTAGCTGGACTTTGATCAGCAAGGTTAATAAGTTTATTATTGTTGGATTAGAGTTCTTTAAGATGTTTAATGTTGTGCAAGTGTCCAATAAATGTTTTCAAGAGATAAGTTAAAAATAGCTAGAAATGAGATATAAATTTATTTTTTTTTACTATCTTCGTTTCACCAGTGTTAATCTAGCATCATCAGAACAAGTTGGTTATACCGGGCTAAATACCACTGAAATAATAATGTATTTTTAACAATTCTTATGTATCCAATTTTTAGCTGTTTTGCACCTTATTTATTACCTGTTGTGTGAAATCTATTGACTTTTTGGAAGAAAAGTAGAACAAAATTAGTAGTCAAAATTGAGTAAATGTAACTGAAGTGTTGGTCAAATTTTGAAAGATGTTTTGTTTAAAATTTTAATGAGGTTTAAATAAATTAAAATGAAATCTTGCTATTCATTTTCATTGTTTGTTTCTTAATAAAATTCCTCATGATTCTGTTGTAATATTTTAAGTAGGATTTTTCTTAATTGTTTGTCTGTTTGTAATTAAGCACAAAGCTACACAATGGGCTATCTGTGCTCTGTCCACCACAGGTATCGAAACCCGGATTCTAGCGTTGTAAGTCCCGCAGACATACTGCTGTGCCTCTGGGGGGCTTTTCTTAATTGAAAGCTGAAACCATATTCTCACAATTCAGTAACACTTCTTCAAGGTGTGAGCTATTTTTCATGCCAGTGTGTACTTGTATTTCATATTTAAATTACTTTGCCTGATAATGATGTTGGAATAGTATAAAGCCTACTAGAGAATTCATCAAGGATTTCACATGTTTCAGTGAGGTGCAATATTGCTATCACAGTTAGTTGAACTGAGAATGAATTGCAATTGAGAATTTGTGAAAGACTGACAATTGCTAAAAGTTAATTACCAAAATTTGATTCCCTGTCTTAAGCTGTGAGCTCTTATTTTATGTTTCTGTATTTTGTAAGTCAAACCATACATGCTATTTGTGGTTAACTTAGATCAATAATTTTGAAGTATAAAGAAAAATAATGTTGAATTTTTCTTAGTTCTTTGAATTTTTTTTTATCTTTAGCAGTAGCAAAATGATATTTTACATTTTAAGTCTTGCATATTTATCTATGTCTTGCCAATTAAATGCATAAGTCATACAATTTGAATAGTTAATTATTCTTTTCTAGGAATTGCCTTTAAAAAACATTTTGTATCATTAAAGGAAATGAAAAACGAATGGCCACTACATTAAATGGTTCTCTAGTTTCTGATGACTCTAAACCAGCACTTCCTCATCGTCTAGTCAAAAAAGTAAGTAAAGAGTGTGGGTACCAATGTGACAGTTTTTTTTACCAATTTGTATAAAAAGTAAATCATAAAAATGTAGATCTAAGCACATTTAATATATCTGTTGCCAAAAAAATTCTGTATTACTATTAGCAATTTCTGTTGACAGAAGACTGGTACTAGTATGATCAAACTATGTGGGCAGAAGAATCCGTACTAGTTATCAATCTCTGTAAATAGAAGAAATGGTACTGGTTATCAAGCAATGATAGAAGAAAGAACTCGTAATATTATTATAAACAATAGATAGGAAACCTGATAGTAGTTATCAGTCTCTTTTAATAAAAGAAATTGTTCTAGTGATATTAGTATCTTTTGATACATGAACTGGTACTATTAATATCATTCTCAGTAGAAAAGGTAATTTGTGATATAATAATGATATTTGTAGGTGGAACAACTGGTATTAATATTTTCAATATCTGTTTATAGAAAGCGATACTATCAATAAATATTTGTCATATGACTTGAACTTATAATGACAAACTCTATAGATAGAACTGACATTAGTTACCAATCTGTTGATACAACTTTCAATAATAGCATCAATATCTACATGCAGGAGAAAGGTACTAATTATTTATCTCAACAAATAGAAGTGGTATTTACTTACACTTCTCTGCTGATAGAACTTTTACTAATATGGTTAACATCTATAGGTATAAGAACTTGTAGCATTGTAACAATCTTTCTAGATGGAAGAACTTATAGTAGCTATCAGTATTTCTTAATAGAATAACTTGTACTAGTATTTGTGCTGTGTTGATAAACAAACCTACAAGTGGTATCAGTGTCTGTAGATGGAAGAATTGGCACTAATGATATCAATCTTTGGGATGGAAGAACTTACACTAGTAATCAGTATCTGAGGGTAGAACTGGTAGCAGTTACCAAAATCTGTTGACAGAATGACTTGTAATATCAATGTCTGTAGATAGAAGAATTGATATTAGTGATATCAGTCTTTGAGATAGAACTGATACATTTGCTATTATTAGGACTATTATTCCAAATTCTATGCACCTAATTATTCTCCCTCCAGATGACATTAAAACTAATAAAGTAACCCAAGCTAAACTTCTTTTCCATTTCCTATTTGTGCTTCCTTGACCAAACCAGATTATAATAAGCATTTAAGACTGATAATCAGTTCAATGGCCAAATGTGTAATGTTTCTCACCCTCACCTCCTCTTTCACCAACATTCTTATTTGTTCTGGATCTTTTCTCAGGCACGGCCCATACATACTTTTTTTTGGTGCCTGGACCATGAAAGTGGGTTTTCTCAGAGTATTTCTGTTTTCCCCCACAGCAAAATAATCCAGCTTTGGATTTATAGTTCCTTGCTGCCCTCAAGGACCCTATGTCCCACAGGGACTGTTTGGTTTGTGAAACAATGAATTCTGGATCTCCCTTATTCAAAGCTCTCTGGACTCCTCCTGACTGCTTGAAGCATTTTCAAATCTACTATGTTAATATAATCATCTTTAAGTATGCTCAGATCATAAAACTTCAGGTACAGTGCACACCACCATCATGAGGGGGGGGGGGGAAGAGAAGCTAAAGCTTCTGAGCACCCCTAGTAATCCTCCGAGGTTTAACCTCAGAAGATCTCATACCGAAATTCCTGCCACGTATTGATTGATTGTCCAAATGTGTTATGTACCCAAAGTATCCTCATCTAACTGTTGTACCACTTGAAGCTGCAAAAATCATCTAGACATAAAGTTGTTAATACTTGACTCATGTCAGGTGATGGATGCAGATATAATTGATCTTTTTGAAGAATACATTTACAACAACAACAAAAAAAGATAAGATGAAATAGACTTTGATAGGTCTCACTAGCTAACTCATTGTAAATACTTTAATCTGACTGGATTGATGATCAAGTTTCAGTTTAATGGTCCAAGATATTCCATCAATGAGGAATGGTCTTGTAAGAATCTTTGTGAACCTATTTGTAGAATTCTCATCATTAAATTCCATAATAGGTTATCCATAGGTTGGCTTTCTACAATTTTGAATTTGAAGAAGTAATTTTACTATAAAGAGAACAGTAAAAACACTCAACTCATTCTATTTTGGTAAACAGTTTTGTTCCTTTGCCTTGTGGATTTGAACAAGTGTCAAGTTACTGTATGCACAGGCAGTGGATACTTGCCAAACCAATAATGAGTGATTCTACTGTTGGATACATTGTGTCTGTCTTTGGACCACAGTTTGCTTATGGGCAAAATAATGATGTATCACATTTTAGAAATGATATTGAGAACATTTTTTACTTGGGTACTATCACATGCTGTATCTGTTGTGGATAGAGGATTTAGGAATGCATTGGATTTCCTTCATAACTTGAGTGTTTAAAGATAGAGATGCCATTCTTCCTACAAAAACTATGTAACTTGCACTTTACAGAAGATTCAAATCTTTTGAAGCTTGTCACACAAGTGCATTGGGTAGTAGAAACCATAAATGGTTGAACAAAACAGTGGAAGTTACCAACCTGCATCTTCCTTTTATAGGGATTATGTGAGAGTTTTGTAATATTAATTTGAAATTACTGTTGGCCTTATCTCATGCAAATTATGAAGTTGATTTTGCTTCTGCTGCACATCAAATGCTCAAAACCATTGAAACAAAAAACTCCAATAGAGTGTAGAATCTGAAGGTTTAAAGCAAAGTGGGTGAGTGTGGAAATAGGTTGAAGCAGATGATGTGCTTTTGGACTTTCCATAGTTGTTTGATGTATGTCTATAGAGTTACTTGGTGTATATCAGTTGAATTTTTCATATTTCAAGTGTGTACTCTTTCTGGAATCAGCATTATGGTTAGAGTGACCCACCTACCTATGCAAGCCTGTTTTTTCCTGTGCCATGCATTTGCAAGAGTAGTGGGATGCTGTTTGCATTAGTGTCAGTAATGTGGTTCCTGGAACTCAAATGGCACAGGGAACACAGGCTAACAAGACCAGCTTCAGTACTTCAAGGTGCTGCAACAATCACTGATGACACTTCTGATAGATTGGACAATGATTGAAGGTAGAATATGAACATTTAATTGTATGCAGTATGTGACATTTTTATAGTGACGTTAAAAGTGATTTTCAACATTTATGATATAGGTGAACACATGTAATTAAAAAAAATTAGAAGTGTGTTTTATAGACCTGGTAATATCAGTTTCTGAAGAAAGAATAACCGGCATTAGAAATATCAGTCTTTGCTGATGGAAGGACTGGTATTAATGTTATAACTCCTGTCATTATTATAACCACTGTTGGTCATTTTTAAGGATTATTTTCTAAGTAACTAAGTAATTGGTTAAACAATATTTAATGCTCCAGATTTTTAAAAGAAACCTAATTTTTTAAAGTAATTTACTTGTTTTTCTCTATAGCTCCTAGAAGTATTGCAATAAAGTCTAATGAGTATTATCCAAATTCTCATTTTTATCATTCCTCTGGAGCATCCAGTTATTTTAGTTGATTTTACTGGATGCTGTGCACTTTGTCAGTCCAGACTACAAAGCTTTGTAACAATTATTATAGTATTGGTAATACATTATAATAATGAATATGAACAATAAGTGCCTGAAATTTATAGTTGTTGTATAAGAGGCTAACTTTTCACATCTATAAGTTACTTATTTTATCAAGCATTTGTAAAAGATAATGTTGAATTCTTAATAGGGATCAGCTCTTTCATTTATGCTTCAGACTCGAGAAGTTCAGTCTTTGCCAGTTTCATGGGAGGTCCCAGATCTTTCAACTTACTCCCCATTACAAACCAGCGAGGTCACTCTGCCATCCTGCTCTCCTTTACACACTCCAGAAGCTTCAGTCTCTCCGGCCCGAGAGTTGCCCCGACCCCCTCCACCCATCCCAGCTAAAAGATCATCAAGTTGTGGACGATGTAGCAACCCTGCCACACCTCCAAATTCTCCACTGGTGACTCCAGACTCCCCATCTCCAAGCACCTCTTCTTTGCCATCTTCTCGGACTTCTGCATCTGGCCAGAGTGCCTCTACATTTAGCTGTGACTCCTAACCTCAGTTGGAGTGGCTGCTGTTCCACATATCGTGCAGTGCTACTTTATGTAGGGCCACAAAACGTTCCTCATCTCTAAAACTGTGAGAAGTTGAATAGATATTGGTGTGTTTTTTTTTAATTAGACTATGCTCATAATTTTGTTTGTAAATTCCATCGAGAAGTGTGTGTGTGTGTTTGTGTGTATGAACGTTGCAAGTCGTGTTAGTTTTCTTCCCACTAGATGGGAGATTGTTCTGTTCATCAATCTCTTTGTCTGTTTTTAAGTCTTTCAAACTGATGTGAATAACCCTATTGCTCCATTCCACAACTCTTTCAAAACTTTTGTAGTTCAAAGGTCTTGTTTCAGAGCAGCAGAAAAGTAGGTTTGAAGTCTTTGATATAAATAAATGCCAGGAATCTATGTCACTCTTAGTATATGGGTTATCTATAAACTAGAAATATATATTCACATATATATATGTGTACTTCATGTTAAAATGTATGCAAATATTTTAAGCCTGAAAAAGTTTTGTGAAGTTCATTTCCTAACAATTTTTTTTTACCCAACAGTACCCTAGATTTCTGTTGCAATACAAAAAAAAAAAAAAAAAATTAGAACAACTAATTACTTTAATTATTTGTTTTACTTAACTTACTAGTTATTTCAGGGTAACGGTTAAACCTTAAA